TAGTTAAGCAAATGTGGTAAGCTGACAGAGATGATATGAAGGAAATCAAAGCACAGGATTACACCATTCTTAAATACATGCTTCCATTAATTCACGCGCTTTTACTGATTACGTTACACAAACGAGTATGCGACGAAAATAGCAGTTTAGGAATTGTCCCAATGCGAGCTTGACAGATGCAGAGGCCAATCACTAATTATTCGAACTTGTTATATACTTACGAACACGAGAACAAGGAAGAACACGATAGCGTAGTCGGATGGAATAGTATATTTGCGAGATTGTGCATAAATACCGATGCGTTCAGACTGACTGGCTAGAGAGCCAACTGCGAGCAGTGCAAAGTAACACGTAAGCGTGCCAGATGGCGAGGATGTGTGACTGGGTACCTCCAGCTTACCAAGTCCAGTTAAACTATGAAGGTCAGCATCAATGTAGAATCTCGTCTAACTCTAGGCTGTTGATTTTGGAAAAGTGTGTGATACTACAGCAGTAAAAAACATTTTTAAAGTTAGCGTATCGATAAATGGGATGGCTAGTATCCAAAATATCATGGATGTGATCATTGGTGTATAACTTAGTGCAAAGATGTCTAACGTGGTTGACCTACAGAATTTTATAACCCCTTAATAAACTGCTTCTTCTAATTACGGATTACAAAACCATTATGAATTACAGACAACGGTATGCCCTAGTCACTGACAGACACCACAGTGGCTTTCTCGAAAATACCCATTTGTTAAGTTTACTTGAGTACTGAAAGACGTAATAAGAGTCGCCAATACCAACATATGAAGAAATGTATTTAACGCAATGAAATTAGGAATTAAATATGTGTTCATATTGAGACGTTCTGTTGCCCTCGAAGCCTTAAAGTGACGCCCATAGCCTCTCCGGAAAGAAAGACTTTGGGGGCTGTGAATGAGGTAGATGAATGGAAAAAATCCCATGGAGTATGTGAAGCGATTACAAGCGGAAGTATGTGTGTATGACACTTATGGGCTATTATAGGCACCTACTATATAGAGTGGGATTTGTCACGTGTTCGGTGTCTTGTTTTACTTTCACCACAGTATCGTTTTACTGACGTCAGGGCTGCATATTGTTGACATCCCATCAAATAGCAAAAGATGGTGATTCATTGGCAGATGAACACAATCTAAAAGACAGAAAACATAGGGACTTACGCGTCAACCTGAGTTCAGTAAACACATCAAGAAGCACTTACATTGAAACGGTTTTTTAAATTAGAGTTGGCACTCAACTCAAATAGACAGACCTTACAATAGGATAAAACAATCTGATAAAACAACAGTAGTGTTCTGTTATCTTGGAGATATATTTGAGATGTATGAAATTCAATGAAGTTAAGCAGACTGTGCGAAAGAACTCATTTGGACATATAATACTACTTATGTTGATTTGCATCAACTTTTTTCCACCAAGAATTATATCTCACGAAAATATCTTTCTCCGAATTGTAGTTAGTAGCTCCATCACCAGGTAAGTTTAAGCTGTTGCCGAATAAAACCTCCAGGAAGGATACGTAAGTAGTATTATATGTCCAACCATTCAAGATACCTGTTTTCAGCCCGCCTATGTCTAACTGCTTAGGAGCATGAGTAGCTTAAGCAGAATGGATTTGATTTGTCTCATTTAAATAAAGTTTGAGGTGGTTCTCCCCTGAACTTCGCCCTAAAACATTTTTTATGTTTTTCAATATACTAATGACGCCATTCCCTAGACTATACCGAAAATAAAAGCTGCATAATGTTCCAAACAGCTCTGCAAATAAGGTTATACGAATTCTCGACGGAAACTTGAAACAACCACAGATTGCGTTTTCAGACAAAGGAAAATATGTAGGGTTGTTGAGATTACCAGAAAAGAATATAGTTAGACTTATCTCAGCAAAAATGTGTGGACTCGTTGTTCTTCGTATGAAATAACAGTAATTTCAAGTCTAATTGTTTACCAGTTTTACATTGTATCTGTTGACAGCAAGTGAGATAAAGTCTCATACTGTTCAATTATATGGTTTGGGTAAATCATTATGGAAGTGGGATTTGCTAGTAAATATACAAGTGTTTGTTCATATTTTGGGGTTTGAAAACAGTTGGACTTTGCACTTCAGATTAGAGATGACTAAAGTAAATGTAATTTAGCACCCTAGTTGTCGTGGTAAAAAAATGAAGCTCACCTGACCCAACCCCTAAACCTATAAATTTTCCTTTGAGGTATATCAGGCATTTTAACAAGTGTTGTTTTATTTCATGCGACCATTGTCTTAACAGATGAAGTTGTCAAAGTACGGTGTGATGTAGTTGTTCAAAACATACAACTGAGTGACCTAGTAAAAGCAACAGGTCATATGCGAAAGACAGACAAAAAACATCAACTTAGAAGGTCGCATAGAAGTGCATTATTTCAAATTACCACATTTCAAAGCAGCATGCAGAGAACAATTGGATGAAAAGAGACTGATATCAAGGTAGACAGAAGTGTATGGGAAGAGAAGGAGCTTAAAAATGAAGCCTATTGAAAATATTCAAGATGTAAAAGATGTCAAAGGGTGAATACATCCGCGCCATTGTGACCAGTTTTCAGCCATGTGATTCCGACTGCTTTGAGAATCCCAGCAAGATGGTATGCACCTATCTACAAGACAAAAAGTGGGAGACTTCAGAGATTGGCACCACTTTTGATCTGGCCACTCTGAGATATATTTCAATTTAATCCAACTTCTTCTAGCACTGCTGGTCAAGATATGTAATGACTTGACAAGTGCAACAAACGTCCAAGCCAACTCAGTCAGTGATGCCAAGCATACTCAGATTTCTGCTCAACGCGTTCAAGAGCCGCTGCATTTTGTCAACGTCTCCACCTAACAGGACAGTATCGTTAGGATACTCCAGGTCAACCAGATGACCTATAGGAAGTAGGCCAATCCCTGCGAAGTCAAATGTACCTAAGGTTGTGTCCATTAATACATGGATGACGACGTTGATAACAGGATTCCCTGAAGGACGCTACTGACTGTTGTCAAATCGGATGACAACTTTCTGTAAGCCCTTACATGGCTGTATGAGTCTAAATAGATGGTATTACATATGTTCCCTTCACGTTCAGACACTGTCACATTACAAGGGCAACAGAGTCGAATGCCGAATCCCGGTCAAGAGATATGGTACTTATCAGAGATGAGTATACTTAAAGGGTCATGCAAGTAAAACGACATGTGTCAGTGAAATGGTCATTCAGAAATCTAGCTCTAGAGACAGAACATAACACAAACAATAAACCGAGTGGTGTGGATGCTTCATCGCTTACTTTCAGATACACAAGTTAGTTTAACTTTCAACAGTAAGAACCTTATTTCGTATGTCAATGGAATGAAATGTAGGCTAGTGACTTTTGGAACTTCCTAATCTCTACAGACATTTTTTTGATTCACAAACCTTGAATTTAACATTAGCTCTTTATTGCACTTGCATCAAAAAATACATAAAGTTAATGATGACTCTTAGATTATTTACAGCATACATTAAATTTTTGCGGATGGAAATTAACTTTACTGTATGATTATCACCAAAAGTAAAATAACATGCAGCATTACCGAAAGTGTATGCAAGCTGTCAACTTTTAAAAAGTAAGGGCTAGTCAAAGTGTGATTTGTTTCTGTCAATCTAGACTAGGACTTACAGCATCTCATCGAACAATGGTACAAGTCTAGTTAGGTTATATAAGGCACACACGGACAACTGTAACGAGTCAGTTGCCTTCCTAAAAACATGGATTTTTCTAATTAACAAGGTTTGTCAGTTGTCATGAAGCAAAGTTTCATGTAATTGAAGAATTTATTTAACATAACGGAAGAAGTAAGTGCCTATTTGGGCATATAATGTGAGGTTAGTATAAGGACTCTTGGTGACATGGCACAAAATCGATAACAGCGGTGTAGATATATTCACTCCTCGACATCTTCTGAAGCTTCAATATTTGTACTAACCATTATCTTCTAGCTGTTAATTCTCTCACACAACTTCGTCCATTTTGGTATCACTCATTTTCTATCCACCTGTTCTTTGTACACTACTGTGAAGTGTGGCAACTTGAACACATACACTTGCGAGTGAGGTTCCACGTTGATTTTGTTTGCCTGGAATCAGTTTGCCAGTGTTTGGCAATATTAGCGCAAAATTCTTAAGCTCATTTCATATACGATAATCCCTGTATTTGTGATTAGTTTGAATAACATTCAGTAAACTTCACCTACATGAGAAACTAATGTATTATTTAGAAGTGGAAGTACACACACTTGCATCACAAGGATAGATCGAAACTGAGGATTTCGTGAGCCAAGATAGATGTTATAGGTTAACCTGATCGGTTGATTTTCTAAAAAAAGTGGTTCGGGCTAAATATATAATTAAGAAAGACTGTGTACAACTATACAGGATAGATAATAACTATTGAAATTATCGAAAATGAGAGAGTGACGATAAGAACACAAACAAGAATGATAAAAATGAGCGCCTTCAACAAAAACGTTAACCAACTATTGAACGAGGGAAGTATGATCGATAATGTACACATTTCTACATAAATATGAGAAGGAAATCAGATCAGTAAAATAGTCGTTACAATAACAAAAACAGTGTACTACAAATAAAATGAAGAGAATCATGAAGATACTATGATATGATACATTGTAAGAACAACATATTGGCAGATCCAAAGATCAAACAAGTATGAAATCGAACAAGTCATTAAAACGTTTGTAAACAGAAAAACAAAAATAGCATACTGAATTCTAAAAACAATAAAGGGGATCATAAAGATGGATCAATTCACAGGTTGCTTGACAGTGGTAGTTAAAAAAGATAAACCACAAAAAATACAAGTATTTGAAACAAAAAGCAGATCTTGACACCATCATGTACTTTATGAAAAGATTATTGAGGTAGATGGAATAATGATACGAAAAAATTTCAAAAGAATTACTCTTTTAATTTGTCAGAACATAAAGGTCTACAAGTGAATATCAACTTGGCGTCAGATGTTGTTAATAAAGACAATGTCGATAGTGATTCATTGACTAGAATTAAATTATCATCTGTTAATGTTGTCTCAATTCGATTGAGTTTAGTTGTTGAACAAGTTAATGTATTGGAAATTGCGGTATACCATCTAAAAAGAAACATTTAAAAAAGTTGATAAATACACGATATGATAAGCATTTAACTTGAGAGTAAGCCTAAACACTTTAGGTCGCATCAGTTAGAGAAATATTGGAAAGCTGTTTTGTCCTAGTATAAGACACATCATTAGCGCGCAACTATGACCCAGACAGGGGTCCAGCCCAGGATATTCAGGTTAAGTGACCAGCACGTTACCACTGAGAAACTGGGTCGGAATTCAACGGTCCATATTTCCTACTTCTGTCAGTTTGATTCATGTAAAATTTTGCAGATGATCATCTTCTGAATTGCATATAAGAACGTCAGAATACACCTTGTTTTACACTCCATTCTGTAGCATATACTACTGGTATACTAGTGATATCACGGTCTAACGGATATTTATCATTCATAGGCTCTTTTCTAACAAACTCTCTTTCCGTATGTAAAAGTGATTGCTGCAAAACCTGTGGTAAGCTGTTCAATCGCAATAATCATCTTCTATTATTGATTGACTTGGATATTAATAGTCGCATGAAACACCCATTATGCATTATACATTATGATTCCTCATATTATATAAATCATTACACTTTGTTGATTACTTGAACAAAGGCATAAGAATAGCTGGAGCTGGTGACTCACATGAACTGACAAACAAGATACCACTGACAGATGAATTGACAATCCGTCACCTTATCTACTTGCAGGTATATTGATTCTTTAAGGGAAAATATTTGAGCATAAAACGTTTAATGCACAGACTTTATAATTCCTACTCTAGGGTACGCTGTAGTTTCATTTACTTATGATGCAGAAATAAGTTATTATTCATCACGGACCAATATCAGTTGAAGAACCATTGAATATATGGAAGCGCTAGACAACTGTTTTGTTCTATTATGGAATTGCTGAACAGCGGACACCCATGACCTCGCCAGGGATCAGACCCAGGATTTTCAAGTTTTGTGGAGAGTATAGTAGTTTTATGAATATAAACGGATTAGAAGGTGGTGTTAAACTGACACAGACTATAATATAGAAAAATATAATAAGCGCTTTTATCACATTTGACTACTAATAACATTCAATTAGTTATACTCTTTCTGCTGTAAATTTTCATCTAGAACTTGCTAAGGTCAACTTAGTTTTATGGTTACAGAACAAAGAATTACTTAGAACACTTAGAACACAAATAGAAAATAATATATTTTCCTTTTCAAAAAATAAGTGTGTGCAAAAGTCGAAGAGTCTTAAAACGTTTTATGCGCAACAGATTGAGGCAAACACTTTGTTCCTCAATGGACATTTCAAAGAAAGACGTAATAATTAGCCTAAGTATATTAGAAATCTCAAAAAATTAAGATTTGGACTGTATTTGAAAGCAGTTTGGTTAACTGCGGTTATCCTTCATAGATCTAAGCACGACTTTTAATACGCCTTTCACAGATTTAAACTGTGTAACCAGTTCGTATCGTAAACCCTTCCATATTAGATGTGACTCACTGTATAGTACACTATTCTCTGCATACTCAGTTAAGAAATCGATTATTATCACGTCATCAACAATACGACGCGGGTAAGCATAAACTGAATGGGTTAACATATTAAAATATACACATTTAAAAAACAGTAAAACAAATTTATTACAGTGAAATAAAGTAAAACAAAAATATGGGTCAAATGAACAATTTTAGTTACCTTTTCAGGAAGAAATCATTTTCAGCTTGAAAGTAATAATCTTTGGAATTGTTAGAGATTTTAATAAAATAGCTGTACCGTACACAATGACGACGGTGATGTTCATCAGCTTCAAATTCATTGAGATTATAACCAAATGGTAATAAATTAGTAGGTAATAATTCAGCAGTACATTTATTAGTTGATAACCATAAACGTGCTAATAATTTATGATGATGGTATGTTTTATAAAATTTTAAGCACATATCTGACAGAACAGTCCATAGTTTTTGCTTGCTGCCTGTTCCACGTTTAGAAAGACGAAATAAATAACCAGATATTTCGTTCTATAATATTGAAAATGAAGAAATTAGATAGAATTAAAAGAGCTTTAAGGAGAGCGAGAATGCGGATAAATGAAACGGAGAGAAGATATAAAGGATTAAAAATATATTAGTGCCTTATAAAATCAAGAATGAGGAATATTTTCAGCAGTAAATAAGTGAAAACTTGTGTTAACGCAAAAATAAGAATACTTTAATGAGTAGTAGAATTGTGGTATGGTTATTTTTGCAGTATACACCTAAACTTCTAAAGGTTTCATAAAACTCATACTTTAAGCTAGCACCTGCATAACTTAGCCGGACAGTAAAAACATAGATATGCAATATTTACTTGTGTGTAAATGAATGCTGGGATGAGGATATATATATATATATATATATATATATATATATATATATATATATATATATATATATATATATATATATATATATAACCTGATCTGCAGAACGTGTCCATATTCTATCGGAAGCCACGTACATTTGATTAATTTCTTTGGAGCAGAATTTGCATACAAAGAGAAGAATGACTGGATTATACGAAGTTTTAGCATTAGGTACTAAGTTAAGCAGTACACATTGTCATGGAAGCCATGAGCATTCATAACATTTGAATACGGAGTTACTAAATGTGATCAAGAAGAATGTTCAGTAAAGCATAAACTATTGATTCCAATAATCAGTGCTCTTACAACCCAAAATTCATGAAAGTTTTGACACAATCTACGTAGAACCTTGCACACATGCTCATTTGTTCAAATTGCCACACTTTACAGTAGTACATAAAGAACAAATGGGTAGGAACAAAGTGATATCAAAGCAGATGTCATGTGAGAGAATAAACAACTTAAAAATAATGGTTAGTGAAAATATTGAAGCTTTGGAAAACATCTTCGTCATTGTGACCGATTTTCAGCCATTTGAATAAGAGTTCTGAACCAGTGATTCTTAACGTTTCGGCGGCCCCATCTAGGTAATCTCCATCCCCCCCATACGGTTTAGGCCAACATTCAGTGACTTCGTCGACTGGTGCCACATCTTGGTATGGCCACGTTTTAAAAGTTGCGAACCAACTTTTCGAAATTCATGCAACTAAGTTTTCCATTCAAGTATACTGTCGCTCACTTTGATGCACAAATAAAAACATAGCCAGAGAGCGTTTACGCCACTGTGATATTGTTCCTAAAGCCTGCAGATTTGAGTAAGTAGTTTTAAGCTACTTATATTTTTTTCAGATGCCATGTAGTCAGTAGTTAAATACAACATTAGTGAGATTTTGATTTGACTAGATTGAATAACAGTCGAGGGAAAAAGTGATTGCTTGATTCCGTTTATACGCCTGTGAAACAAAACGTACATCTGTAGAACCATTTTTCACTTTATAGAACGACGATGTAGGAAAAGAAACTCGAGAATGGAGAAAATATACTCAGAGACAGAGGCAAAGGCAAAAATGCCCTCCCTCTTTTAAAAAAGGAGTCTTAAATGATGGTAATTCCATTTTGATGTTTAATAATACATAATGATTACAAAAGAAGGATAGAAAGGCGAAACGAAGAATAGGTTTTCACGTTTAATAGGTGAAATAGGAAAACTCTCTTCGTTCCCTCATTTTCGTATAAAAATGATAGGATGAGGAATAAATTCTCTTTGAAAGTTTGCTATTTTGTATTAAATTATTATTAATCAATAACTTTTGGAAACAAAGATAAAATATGGATGCGAAAGTTATTCGAATTATCTCATTTTGGCAATGACATAATGAATATGTTTTATATTTCTTAACCGTATATTTTTAATCGATAAATTATTCTGGATGAAAACTTGTCCCTCCAAAGAAAGTCGAAAGTTTTTTAAGTGTCATTAATTTTAAATAAAATATCTATTAGTTAAAGAGAAAGCGTTATTGTCCATTCCTTAGAATAAAAACGACTTATAATGAGAATATTTCAGGCAGTTCTATATATCTGACTAGATTTTCTGAGATTAGTTTAGGAAACTGGTTACAGGATAGTAGGATGATGATTTGAATTAAGAGACTGCAGGTGATATGGAATACTAACATAATTCCCAAACAATACAGACGATACTGTCAGTTTTTGTTACAGTTTACTACAACTTATTGAGACAAATAGATATGTGCAAGGAGAAATATGATGTAGACGATAAATGCTGAACAACATTTTGATTATCTGATCACCCAGTGGTCGCTGGTTATGATCCGGTCGTAATCCAAATTTTTATTTCACCTTCCCGTTATTACTCAGTGTAAATGCTGAATATCTGGTGTGTTATAGCTAAAGAGCTGATTATTCTGAAATAATAGTCACGTTGAATAGAACGGTCTCAGTAGTTTCATTTTCAGTCCAAATAAGTTTTTTTATTAAATCAAGTCACCCCAAGGTTGATGACTGAAGTTGAAGTGAAACTTGTCTTGTAGAAGCGTCCAGACTACTTATGCTAATAAACACTAACGAGATTTTTATCTAAACATATTCCATAGTGCATGAATATGAGAAAGTCGACTTCAGATAATCTATTTATTACGTCACTTTACTTTGAATATCTCTCTCTGTTGTCGTACAACTAACTGTAGGCGTTTAATTCGTCAAACTAATGACTATCATAGTGCACTAACTTGTCAAAAGTATTAGTGATTACTAAACGGTATGTTCTCCAGAAAATGATGAATAGCAGAAATGATCATTCATACCCCAGTGCCAGGCACAAATAGATAATTTCTGTTTGTAGGTGACAGATGAAATCATAATTGTCATTTTACCTCGAAATCTGTTTCACCGTAAATGGTAATGTTTTATCTGAATTTGGCATGATTCATTCAGGTAAGTAAAATTGCACTTTCAAACTGATCTATTTTGTTAGTTACTTTCACAAAACTTTTTGCCAGTTGCTTTATTAGAGTGTGTTAATGTAGGGTATGTGAAGCCCGAATTTTAACCTTTTGGTTTAGTCCATATGTAAAACTAATTTAAAAAAATGTTATTGTACACTGTCAAATTGAAGTTATTTATGGATGATATTTACCATAACATCAATTCCTATAAACTGTAGTGCAAATTAGCAAAAGTTATCAAACCATATCTAACGAGAAGATAGACCCTACTAGTTTAAGTCGTATACCATGAAAAAAGTTTGGGGAATTTAATGAGACAAATAAGACGAATTAAGACTTTCGACTAACAAAACTTACATCAATAATATTTAACAATTGAACGGATGAAACTGATGCATGCTGTCGCCAACAAAATCCAATCAAATTATTTCGAAATGAAGGTATTAAAGCTGTAGACTTTTGAGGACTACTTTGAATAACATCAGAATCTGAAGGATACCGGTTAGTGTTGACATCTGTCAGACATCTTTGTGCAACTTGTGAATACATGATATTTGAAGTACATGAATTACGTAGACGAATAATTCCTGTCATCAATATAACAACGTAAGAGTACAGTATAAACTTATTCATGGTCATATCTGGTTAAGCAACTGAACCTAATTGACTTTTGTGATGATGTCAATGAAACCTGAGACTTGAAAATTTAATACAAGCACATAGAGCTCAGTATGGTATTTGCGAAGAAAAATTCTTGAAATATGCCTTATTTCTATTCACAGCGCTTTGATATATATTTCTTGTTACTTAACTTATTCACTTTGCAATATAACTTTCAAAATTAAAAAATATTATATAATAGTTGAAATATTACAATATACACCGTCATCTGTTAAACCTCTTACAATCTTTGTAATTTATAAGTGATAAATTTATATGTACGTCTTTCGATAAACTTTTTCTCTCGTCAGACATAAGGCATCAACTTAAGATTTTTCTTTGTTTTCAAGCAGCCGAAATCCCCTTTCAGTTATCATTGGTCAGTAGTGATATTGAATAATCCGTCAAATAGAATACTTATGAGTAGAAGCTGACGAAATGAGTTTCATATTTGATAATCTACTCTTGGACGGGTCTCTAAATTTTATGATACTTTAAATCTTACTGATTATTTTACTGAACCAAATTAATCGCTCACTGCTGATATATATGCTCCTTGAATGGATGCCTTTGTATTGTCTAAGCTTTCATTAGGAAGCTATTTGCTTGTTGATGCCAAGTAGAGGAATCCAGGAAGCGTGTTTCATTCTAATTGATACTTGTCATCGCACCGTACCTACATTCTACCGCGTGACATCCCCACTGAGACACAAAATAAAATCCTAAGGCTTACACCTTAAGCTACGAAACGTTTTCCACAAAAAACATTTGAAATTCTTCTTTTGCAATTCGTTTTAATCCTTTAAATATGTTTTTTAAACGCGTCATGTACTCTCGCATAGTTTCAAAATGGCTTCAAACTGCCATTTTTCAAACCAACGAAAAAACATTACGCTGGTATTAGATGAGTTCATGAATGGATAGAAATATAGTATATTACTATTCCTTAGAAAAACTATGTTGAATTGCAGATTTTGGTACTGGCTGAATAAAGTGCCCACAACAGAATTACGCCCGATTTTCTTTTCTATTCATTTACCAGTCCAGACCAGACACTAACCCAATATCGGGTGCCTGTTGCATATTGTGGCTTTTGTTACTGTTATTATTAACATTTTTCAAATGCAATGATTATTACGCTTTGAGAGAACGAATTCGTTGAAATATTACATGATAAGAATTCCATATTGTATCACATATGTTGTTAGAAATAAAGCTATGGTTATTATATTATTAGGATTTCACCGGACGGACGCAAAGAAAATCAGATCGACTTCATCTCAATCTCAAGAAAGTGGAGACACAGCCTACTGGACACAAGACCAGATCAAGAAGAGGAGCAGATATAGGTTCACACTCTATCTAGTGCAAGGAACCTACCTCCACAGAAGTTGGTGATAGGCCACAGTTCAAGTTTAATACCCAGAAGAGAAACTGAAGGATCAAACTACAAAGAAGATCTTCACTTCAGTTATCAGGACAAAATGGGAGACATTAGGCAACATCTCAGAGGAAACCTAAGAAGAAGAACATTGAAACTCTGTGCTGTAAAAGCGACGTGGAGGGGAATCCGCATAACAGTATTAGGAAGGAAGAGGAAACAAGACAAGGAATGGATCTCGATGGACACATGAAGCTAATAGAGCAGGGAGAGGAAGATGATAAAGCAGAAGATGAACCAATGCAAGTTTGAACAGTGATAAGAGGAACTGAACACGACCTATAAAACACTACACTGGACAAAGAAGTGAAGAGTGCACACAAACACAAAAGACACTTCTATGACATATTGGCAACCAAAGCAGAACAAGCTGCTGCAGATAGGAGAAACAGAGACCTGAAAACACTATATCTAATAACCAGGTTATTATTTGAGAAGAGATCAACACAGATGAAACTAATGAAAGGTAATGACGGAAACTTAACTACCAAAAAGGAGAAACAAAGAAAACGATGGACTGACCACTTCGAAAAACTCTTGAATCGACCACCATCACCTTCTACAACTCGTCCAGAAATACCACCAGCAGCACAGCTACAGAATTACCAGAGAACACAAGCCCTCCGACAAAAGCCGGAGTGAAGTCCATAAAACTGCTAAAATCCGGGAAAGAAGCAGGACCAGATGGAATTCCGCCAGAAGCATTCAAAACAGACGCAGAGACAACGGCGGACACGCTCACGCCACTACTGCAGAAGGTTTGGAAGGAAGGGAAGGTACTTGCAGATTGGAAGAAGTGCTATCTTGTTAAAATCCCAAAGTGGGACAATCTAAATCTTTGCAAGAACTGGGGCGGAATCATGCCCCACTCCTGTCCACTCCAAGCGAAATATTGAATCGCATCATCCTGGGGAGACTAAAAGATGCTCTGCATTCAAAATTACGATCGGAACAGTTTGCTGGCTTCAAGAAAAACAAATCATGTGTGGATCAGATTGCAACGTTACGCTACGCCATAGAACAAAGCACAGAATGGCAGTCAACTCTCTACCTCAACTTTATCGACTTTCAAAACGCCTTCGACATCGTCGGCCGACAAGTAATTTGGCATCTGCTGCCACAAACCTTTATCAGCCTTATTTAACAGCTATATGAAGACGCCGCATGCCAGGTGATCCACAATGGAAAGCTCAGTGATGCTTTTGAAGTGAAGACAAGAGTTAGACAAGGTTGTTTACCATAACCGATGATCTTCCTGGTCGTCGTCGACTGGATCATGCAACAAGCTGTGAGGAGCGAGAAGAGTGGCTTAAGCTGTTTTGCCGATGAAAAGACCCTAGAGGATTTGGATTTCGCCGCCGATATGGATTTATATCTAATGTCGCACAAACTTGAAGATTTACAGGCAAAAACTAACAAGTTGACAGAAGAGGCGAGGCAGTGAAGGAAAACGGGGCTTCGAGTGAACGTAGAGAAGAAAAAGGTGATGAAAAAACCCAACCAACAGCAACATCAACAACGAGCACCAATCACCACCAACGGGAGAAATCTAAGGGAAATAGTCTCTTTCACCTACCAACCGAGGCAGCATCGTTTCAACTACAGGCGGCACAAGCACAGATGAAGTTGTCAAAGCAAGGATAGGAAAAATAACAAGACACACCTTCATTGAACTGCAATCAGTGTGGAGACCTACTGCACTCAGCATAAAGCGTAAACAAGATCCGAATTTTCAACATTAATATCATGTGAGTCACTGCTTCTATATGGTTCAGAAACTTGGCACGTCACGAAAAGCATTTTCAACAAACTACAGACATACATCGCATCAATAGCTGTCGCCTACGCTCACTCGATACTGAAGATCAGATTGCCAAGAAGAATAAGCAACAAGGAACTCTGGATAGCAACGAACCAACTAAGAACCTATCGCCCAACATATATGCAGAAGGAAGTGGAGACGGATCGGATATACACTAAGAAGACCATTTGGGGACACCATGCATCAGGTCCTCAAGTGGAACCCAAATGGGAAACGACAAGTTGGGCATCTGAGTCGAGGATGATACAGGACGAAATAATCGGTCTCTATTGAGACATAGGATGCTTAAATGGGTGTCTAGAGTTTGTCCTAAAATGTCAAAATGCTAGTTATACTGTCTAGTTTAACCAGTACAATGTACCGATTGTTAAATATCTCGGATCAGAGTCAAACATTCTGTCAATGTGAGAATCAAAGATGATGTATTGGGGTGAGTTTATAATCATATGGTTAAATGATCCATGGGTCACGGGAACAAATATAATTTATTCCGTACATAATGTTTTATTAGCTACTTACTATTATTAGAAAAGAGCTAGAATTATAAGAAAAGTGTAATTAACAGTTTACTTTGACTGAGCATTAATCTGGTTCTGAAAAACAGTTTTTACTCAAATTGGAATTAAAACATTTTTTAATAAAAAGTTGTCGTATGCAGTTTGTATACTTCTTCCTAATAAAACTTGATTTTAACTAACCAATCAGATACTGGATACAATTAGACTTAACAGCAGAGTAGTTGATCAAGTAGATGGTAATTATTCTTTTGGCTGATAAATGTTTCAATGGTTAAAAAGTCAGGTAATGCAATGATCCAGAACGACTGCAGGTACGTCTTGAACTTATGACAACCGAAAATTGATTGATACTTACTCTGAGCCTGTTGTGTTATCTGAAGACAAAACTTTCTAAAATATGTACTAAAGGAGATCAAATTATCTTGACAATGGACTTTTTTGCATGTCATATGGAATAGTATCCAGCTAGGATTAATTTGATTTCGATACGAAGTAGAGCATGAGTAGTCGGTGTGAAGGTATAACGTGAACACTGTAACACAGTATAAAGTCACGCTAGACTTATTCACTTGATATGGAACACAGTGATATAGTATTTGTAACTGGATGACATTTTGATCAAATTTCATTACTCGTATCAAATCGGTTATATAGGAGTAAGTGGAAATCACTGTGTGCTGAAAACTGATATTCCATTTTTCAGGTTATTTACAGAAGTTGTTAGCTCCACAAAAAGCTAGTAGTATTACTTTATAAACACTGTTTGATGTCTATATGACTACAAGTCACTTTTCACGATAACGTTTGATGCTAGTGTGAAATTTCAGTAAGGAAGTGTTGATATTATGGGTTTTAAATCAAGAACGTAATAAAAACTATTTTGACGTCATAAATTCCTTAGAAATAGCCTAAGTAGAAGGGGAAATTTAAGGTATTATTGCAAACGATATTATTTTGCACGATGTAAGATAGTGTACCTATCCCGTGAAAAGAATAACGATTTTTCAACATATCTGTTGAAACATCACAAAAGAAACACGAGCTGATTCGAATAACTCAAGAATATTTGACTCTAATCAACAGCTTCCTGAATATGATTACAATATTTCACAACGGGTTAGTGTGTTGTATAGGAATAAGATTTGATTGAGGCACTTATTCATTTTTCGGCATTAGTTTTGAACGCTAGCGTTACTCTGTTCATTTTTTTTATTGTTAGTAATCGGATAGTAGAGCAATCAGTTTTCAGAACATTCCCCTCTTAAATTTTAATGAAACGGCGAGTCACTGAGAATTGCTAGCTACTTGAGACATACAGCTAAAGTCTATTTACCACTCGGTGAAACATATGAAAATGAGATTTTGGGACGGCAGTAAAAAACGCACTTGTTAAAAAGACCAATGTGTATAGCGATCTTGTCATAAGTTCTCTACATCTTTAGATCAAACATGTATTCAAAAAGTTATATGTGTACCATTCTTTCAAGTGATGGTATAACCTAACAGAAAGAGAACAACTTACCAGTATGTTTATAGAGTTGTGTCCGATTTAGAATTCTAGAATCATTGATATTCGAAAGAGATGCTGTTGTACCTGTTGTGACGTCTGTTGCCAACCGACTGATATCACCAATCCAAGCTTCATAATCAAATTCATCATATACACCAAATATAAAACGTTTACGGTGTTTTCGTAATCTATAACGGCATGGAGACTGTGATTTTGAAACTCGAGACAGATTAGAATTTCGACTAGTGACACATGAATTAGATTCCTCTGATAGTCCATGAACTGGGGAATGACTTGAATATGTTACGACTAGACCAAATTTAAAACATTTTAATTGTTTATTCTGATCTGAAGTTTCATCACTACTACCATGGTCTTTACGTGGTACATTCCTTTCAACGGCAATATTTGACAGTGATATAATACCATGAATCTGAGGCATATAAGATTAAAGCAGGAGTACTTGAAATTATATCATATTGTAGTTAAGAAAGTGAAACTTAATAAACAGTCAACTTGCAAGAATGATCAATGGTTATCAGTAGGTCCTTCAAGTCTTTCATGACTAAGTTGAAAATGAAACTGCCCATCACTAAATCAGTTTTAGGATTAATACTAAGATCTAAAATGTCTGAACAAAATCTTCAACAAGTCCTGAACTTGTTAACAAAATCCATTTTTTTGAAGACATCTGATACAATATATAGGTCGTTGAAAATTCTTACGGTACAAGACTTCTGAAATAATTTGTTCATCGTGAAAAAAAAACAGTCAGATGGTAGAAAACTGAAGATCATATAGAGAAAAACTAGAAGAACTGATCTTGTTAGCGGTATGTAATTAATGAGACGTCAAATTACATGAAATAACAATTTAGGCTGAATCTAATCAAGTAAAAGAATATATATGCCGACTTGCGTTGGCATAAATCTTTATTTCTTTAGGATACGAAAAGGTACGGTAGAATAGAATAGGAAAGAGCAAGAACTGATTAATTTATTATAAACTTGGTTATTGCTAATGATCAATTTGTTAACTTGTAGTAGTGGATATTAAAAATCAATAAATTTTACCAAACCGTTAGCAAAGTAAACCATTCATGCTTTGTTACGTGATCCGTATCTAAAAACGGTCAAGTTATCCTAAGATTAATCTAACAAAATATTCATAAATTTCCTGATATTAGCTCTCAATTAAAGTAAGCAATATTCAGCTTCAATAATTGATTGCAACAAATTATCACAGTGGTAAATCACCTTGAAATTTTCAAAGAGTTAGAGTTATGCCGATGAATGCGTATGAACACCAACTGTCTTCTCTTCACATTATTTTTATTTCGAAAGTAGTTAAATTAACGGTTCCATAGTAAAAATAAAACGTGAATCTTGTAAGTGCTAAATATAGAGAAGAAGTCGAAGAAGTTTGGTATATTTCAGTAAAACGTTAGCAGTTCACAATAAGCTTTTAAAGATAAACACATTTAAATTGGCTTAGAAATTCCAAAAAACATGATTTGTCTTTTGAAATAATTTTGTAACTAGAGTGAATCATCCACAAGATCAAATTTCATTTTTCAAAGGAAAGACCACTTCAAAGAGTTAATAAGGCTATGCTATTACAAAATAATAATCTAATAGATCAGGTAAGTATCAAAGGTTCTTTCCATCCCGAAAGAACACAATATGAGTAGGGGGAATGAAACCGTCAATAAAATAAGACATCCTCATCATTCGAACAAAGTTAATGGATTTCTACAGAACATTTTTGTCAACACTTCAGGCATTACTCAGTGGTAACCAAATCATCACATGACTAAACCAAATGCACATCACATAAACAGGAATCCGGCCTCATCTCCAGCTAGGCACTGATTGATTACTGGTCACAAAATCAGCACTAATGACGGTTTTTTAATTGTTCCACACAACTTCAATCATAAGTTATTGAAAGTGACAAACACATTTTGGATTTATCACACCCTAAAATCGTGTTCAGAAAATAGTAGATGTGACTCGTTTTCTACCTTGGACTACTCGACCTAGTACACTGGTTGATCTTCAGTTTTTCCATTGAAATGCAACTTAGTAGTTGAATGTGAAACCTGAGGTTCCTGGGTTCGACCCCTAGCCGAGTATTGGGTGCGTACTGCTGAGGGGTCCCATACCAGGACGAAGTAACTGCCCAGTGCTCCAAGGTTTTAATTGGTTCTCCAAATGATATCAGTCCGTGACTAGTACTACCTTGTTAATATTTCCTTCACTCCATATAGATACAAATGCTGACAGATAATTTATCATTGTAAACCACATCAGTTGTTATGGAATTTTAGAGAACCTATGAAATGATATCATCCAGCCATGTTTGTCTGCTTAGTGTCTTATTTAAAGTTACATCTACATGTACAGCTTAACAGTCGATTTCATTGCATGCTCTTATTATTAGACATCAAACAGAAACCTAAAACGGCTTTCATCAGAGAACTGGACCAAGATGATTATAAGAGGAAAAACAAAATCAAAAACAAGCAAGGTAACAAAAGAATCTCTTACTTTCAAGTATAAACCAGCTACACCACGAATTCGGCTTGCATAGATTAAATGCTCTGTAAACAGGAAAACTAATCGTGGTTGAAATCCATGTCGAGAATACTTGTTCAACCAACCGAAACGAATTACTGGACACCTATTAAGAGAATCTAATAAAGCAGTTGAATTGATTTGCAAGCTTTCAATAATATCCTCATCATTATCATATTTAGAATAAGATTGATAAGTTGTACTAGTGTTGTTTTGGTGTTTCTGTCCATCATTTGCTAAGTTATCACGTTCTTGTGCATTTTCATTCACATAATTATCTGAAGTGTAAAAGAATTTATCCAGAGGAAAAACAATTATTGACAATTGCAGTGCCAATGCAACTCTTTCTGTTTGGTCCAAAATGTTGTTGAGAGATCGCCTGGACAATACAAATTGACTGAAAACAGCTATGAACAAATATGTACGAGATGTGAAATGTAAACAAAACGGAAAAAGATGATCATGGAAATGCAAATTGTACGACATGAACAAAATTAGAATGAAATGAAACAATACATGATTAAAAAAAGAATGATGACCGAACCAGTTGCCTCTGCTTTTAGTGTATATCAAGTTAATTTGAAAGACAACTTTAAAGAGATAATTTACTAGGTTTTCTAACTGCAAGGCCTCTTATATTAATGACGGATAGTGGCGAGTAATGGAATCCAAGACGCACGTTTCGTCCTATATGAGACTCACCGGTTGAATGTACCTGCCTCCTAGTTAGTGATATTCTCCCTACTAGGACTCAACCCAGGACCAGTCGCCTCAAACGCCAGAGCGTTATTCACTAGGCCACTGCTGGGTTAAACAGGAAGTTTACCAGGGAAACATTGGGACGTTGTAATAATCATCAATGTATATCTTGCTTTTGCATTTGGTTTCTCATAGGAAATCTTAGTAAGTTGTAGGTGAAATCACAAAGAAATGTAAATAAACAGAGGCTTTGATAAAGCTAGTCCTATTATCTTTGTGAGATGAGAAGAAAAAAATTGTTGGGAGGCAGAATTACTGAAATACTAAGTGTAGGATTTGAAGTAAATAAGAAAATCAGTTCACTAAAATGTGAGCTGATATCAAGTAAAATAGTAGGAGAACGTCTTTCACTGTTTTATGTAACACGAAGCATGCATCCAAGAAGCTGATAGAAACGCTTGTAATAATATCATAAGAGATGGTTGAAAATAAATCGATTACTTTGCCTTTGACTGGTATTTTAATACTATGAATTTATTTCACATGATAAGAAAATAGGCAAGGCAAGTTATTTCTTTTTTTTTAGAAAAGAAAAATCATTTTCGTATGTTAAAATTAGACTTAACTCTTCCACTTACTTCATGCTTTAACTCTATCTCATTATTTAAAACTGAAGTTAGACAGCAACGGAAAATGATGTCACAAGAGTGAGGTTAACTGACATTAAATTTTCTGGAGCATTATACAATATAAGATAATGCATTGGATGCACGCACAAGATACACTGAACAACAATATCGGTAGCCTGCTTAAATCATGGGCTAACAAAAATTTTCCACCGAATATATTTCATTAAATTCTTCCTTTTCAATTTGTTTAAATCATTTAAATATGTCTTCTAAACGTATCATGTACTCTCGCACATTTTTAAAATGTTTTCAAACTGTCATTTTTGAGGCAAAGGAAAAAAGTCATACCCAGTGGAAATGCACTTATAGATGAACAAAAATACAGCAAATTACTATTCTCAGGACACCTATACTGAGCTGCAAATTTTTGTATGCGCTAACTAAACTACCACCACCAAAATTAGGCTTAATTTGTTTTATTCAATCTCTAATCTTAGACCAGACGGTAATGTCACACCAGCAGCCTGTTTCACATTGTTTCACTTCATACTATTGTTATTAATAACACTGTTCATATGGAAGAATTATTCCATCTAAAAATATTGAACAGGGAGTTGATTTGCTGAAATATCGTATACTGAAAACTCCATACTATATCAAACATGTTGATTAGAATAAAGTGATTATTATTCTCATGAAATATATTGTACGTAAACATTTGGGCCACAAAAAGAAATAGACATAGCGGCTAACAGTCACTCTGGAGAGTAATAAATATATGAGCAAGAAAATATTACAATTAGCAGCTAAACTGGAAATTTCGATCCATAACTTTAAACTAATTTATGCTGGACAGCATCATTTAATGATAATCTCATCAGGCCAATTGGCCTAAAGGGCAAATAAAAAACAAAATATTAAATTTATTTATTCAAGAAAGAAAAAGAATAGTAGTTTATTACATGAAAAGTGAACAACAGTTTCACTCACTTTGACACAGAACAGAACTTGAGTGTTCTGACAGTTGATTGACAATAGATTGTAATAAGTTACAATAACTTCGAAAACGTCGACTCGGCAACAATAAGTAATTCCATAATGAACCAATAGAAGATCGATTTTCTAGGTCGCATAACACCTTACGTATCAGAGCTGGTGAATATTTTACACTGTTGTCAAAATGGTTTTCAGTGTTGGCGACTTGCATTTTATCGATTTGCGAGTCAGTATTTACATTTATATGACTATTAACTAACTCGGTATCTCTGTTAGAATGTAATCCAAGAATGTCTGAAAATGCTAACATCCATAGTTCTGATAGTAAGTTAGCAGAATTCTTGATCCATATTTCATAGCACTGATTAAGAAAATAAGAGAAAGGGTAAATTTGAATTTCAAAAGTGGTGAATTTTAAACATAAGTAACTGAATTTTGACAGCCCCGAAAAATTCATGCAGTAGGCTACAGATTGTTCGGAGACTGTTTAAACGAAATATTGACAGTGATCACAACAGATAAAACGCGTTTGAAATTTTGACATGGTTAGTGATAGCCTCTCATCCACAGTTATGGGCTATAGCTTCATTTAGGCGTAAAACTTATTTCGCGTACATAACTTAGTGAGATTTTTTAAAAGAATGCATTTCCTAATGACTTGAAACTAAAATGTATCCAAAATATCATAATGGTGAACTTTAAGTTCTGTATGTTTTAGAAATTTCGAAATCAGAAGTTCTTTCAGGTGCATAAGAGAACGCAAATAGCTAATATTTTGTCATCAGATAGATAGGCGCATTTAGTTCAATAAAACTAAAATGCGTTAACATGTGAAAATTATTCAGTTTGAGACCGAATTCAATTTAAAATATTAGGAGCATCTATGAACATTATTGTATATACTACATATACACTATAACTAATTCTCAGTGGCTACGTAGTTCAAACTACTCAAACAATTATAAGCAGCAAAATGTTAGGTTAAAGGAAGTTGTCAGAAGACAGTGAGCGAACGGAAGTGGAAAACCAATAGTATTCAGCGTATGAGAACTTCAGGTTGGTATGCATCATGTACTGACATCAACTGGAGAAACATCGTAACCCTGGGAGTACTGGACAGCTGTTTCGTCCTAGCATAGGACTCCTCAGCAGTCAGCACCCATGACTCCGTCAGGTTCTATGGCTAGCATGTTACATTCAGCCACTGGGTCGGAATCCAATAATCTATATCTCTATCAGTTCACGACATACAAAACGTTTGCTACAGTGACTAGTTATTTGAAATCATGGTTTTCAGTTTGTTTCAACCATATAAATACGAAATTGGTCTGATGGGATAGTTAAAAATAATAGAACTTCTGTCAACAAAGTACTTCCAATTCAGCTGAAAACATTGGCAAGTTCAGGTCGTTTATTCTAGTTAGGTTGGTAACAAAAATATACAACTAACTGACAGTGGATACTGGAAGACTTAACTTCCATTTCACTTCGTTTGCTAGAGATCTCACACTGTGTGACATATCAAAGTGGAATAAATGTGATTATTGAAGTAAGCAACACAAATTCTTATCTTTTGTTAATGAAATACAGTGAATTATGCAAAATAAGAAAACGTATAGATTAGCTTCATCTACCTGTAATTGATCTAATAAATTCATTAATAAATTAACACAACAACTAAGGCTTTGTAATTCTTTGAGTGCTGAATGCATTCCACACTTTTTATGTTTATGTTTGATAAAATGAGGTGAAAGATAAAAACTTGATAATTCAGAGCTGGAAAAGTCTTCATTCTTATTCAACTGTGGTACAGTATGAGATAGTGATGATTCAGATGAACTGAGATAAACCGACATTCGATTCGTAAACATTGAAGATTCTAAAATTAACGTGAAAACAGTGAACATATTTATAAGAAATAGGAGGAATAATGAGATACAGATGTACAGCGAAAAGAAATGGTTCAGGTAACAACAATTGACTCTTCTCTATATTCTAACAGAGAAATATAAGCAGGACAGTACCTGGTAGTATTATACAACCGTTCAGGTCACAGCACCTGAAATCAGTACATCAAAGAGCAAGGTAATAATAGGAGAGACTGAGAAACGAAAGTAAGGGTTTCAGAGGATGTAGAAATATATATATATATATATATATATATATATATATAGTATTATGCTTTGGACGGAAATAAGACATGAATACATCGATTTTCAGACATATACCAAATCTCAAACTGTTATTATTTTAACAAAAGGACATAGATAATTCTTGAAGGTAATTTGTAAAGCAAACCGAAATAAATACGTGACTGTTATTCGCACGAACTGACTGATATTCTCTATAAATATTAACTGCCTCGCGAACAGAAACAAAATTCAGAAAAAAAAGATATTTAACGAACTCCCTCCATGTAGTAGTCCACCGCATATGTACAAAGAAATGCAAAAACATAAGACTAGATATTTAAAATCAGTGTTAGTAATCCTAGTTATCTGAACTTTACGTTAAATTCTAGACAATAATGTCAGTACACAAAAAGTGTGCAAATAAACTAAGTAAAAGTCGACGAGAATGGTTCTTAAAAAGTTCCAGGAAGTCATTGCAAAGGAGTCAGAATTACATACTTATCTAAGGCCAAAGCTTTAGAAATTCACAGCTTCAAAACTTCAATATGTATTCAAAAGGAATGTGTACAAATACTTTCCATACCGTCGACTTAAACACAAACTTTACGCTTGTGTTTTTGTTAAATTCTTGTACTTTATTTATTTGTTTATTTTTACAAGATACCAAATCTTACTGTTCGGTGTATTTTTTCAATTCTACTACACTCTGACACCATTTCTTGTGTTAGGTAACATCAGCTTATTCTCTCTTTACGCCAGTCATTTGACGTTGACTGCTGGAGGTAAAAATATCAAGAATATCCGATGATTTTATGCATATACTTAGCTCGAACATATAGTCTTACAGTGATTACGGAAAATGATCTAACCGGCGGCAAGAGTTTATTTTACTGGTTAAGCATGGAAATGTTATTGGTAAGCTGAGTGATGTACATTTTATATCGTAAAGTAAGCATCGAAAGAGCATATTTGCTTTCATAGTTCTTCTCCGAGTCCTACTTGTCTGCTACTTGTTTCGAACTTAACTGGCAATTTAATTGGGTAATTGCACTATTCAGCATTACTTGGACATATAGTTGTTTGGCATGGGTGAACTAGCAGAATTGTTAGTAAGAAGGAAACATGAAGAGAGATTTGAACTTAAGTTCCTAATATTGAAGTAAGGTGCACTACCACGATATGCTTTTCCATATCTACATATGAACTTGTGATTCAAAATGTAAGCGGGAATGAACCAGAATTTTATCTTCCATTTAGTACTTAAGTAGATTTTTCAAGCTATTTATTGAAAGATGACTGTTCTATTCACATTGACTTTATTTATCTGTTATTTATTCAATTTTAATCGTTACTTTTAACATCATCACCCTCTTTACACAATCTCACTTGAATTGTCAAGATTTTACAGTTAGGAATAGCTGTTTCATTTGTTGTTTCCGTTTTTATGAACTTTTATGTATTTTAGTATTATATAGTGATATGTATACACATAAGAGTGGTATTGTAGATTATGCATCTGATAGGGCTATTGAAAGATACTTTTTGCAAAATATCACTCTCTCAAATTTTCGATTTGTAATTGCTAGAAATTTAATATATACCAGGCATGCCGTTTACAAGTCTTCAAATCAGTTCAGAACTTTCAAATAAGCTTCATATGTTGTTACTTTAAATGGTTCATGGGAATAGCTATTCGGCAAAAATGTATAGACACATACGCTTATTTACCCTTTGCATCATCATTCGAAGTGCAGAATAGTCTTATTCAATGGTTTTTTTTTATCTTACTTCGATTTTTATGGAGCTTAGGAAGGGAATTTTAGAAAATACGAAGAATCAGTTCGTTATCTCAGTCCTTTATTCAATTTTAGATTGTATCGTATTAGTGTGCTTTTGGACAGTATCATATGATTACCGTGAAACATAATTACCTCATTATGTTACTTGTATTAGGAAAGAAGTGTTTGCAGTCATCTAATTAATTAAACTTTATCCCAATATCTAGATAACTACACTGATGAGGAAAAGTAAAACGGTACAGCTGACTGAAGTTAAAGTGAAAAAATAGAGGTGCAGTGAGAGAAACACATGAATTATTGTGTACTAATCTATATTTAAAAGATCCACCATGTGAAAATGCTTACCATGATTTATTTTAGAAGACTGAAATAAACTTTCCACACCATCATCCTTTGATTTTGATAATAATTGTTTACTGAAAACTTTTACTCTTGAAATTATATGCTTTAAAGTAGATACAATTATCTTTAGCTGGTGCAAAACGATTTTTGCCGATCAATTATTGGTTTTAGAAGTGGTAGTAAACGATTCTGCAACCAATTCATTAATGGTATCACATTAAATAAACTAGCCATATCCAATGGAGTCTGAAACATGAATAGTTTCCAAAGACAAGGAAAACAAATAAATAAATATTATCAAGAATTGCTGAAGTAAAAGCACATTCAAATAGGAAATATTTAGCTTTTACTTCAACAGCACCAATAGAAAAGTTTTCGAATAGGATCATCGGGATCCATTTTTACTCTGTAGACATGTTGCGAACGGAAAAAAGAAAATCAGAAACTACATTCAATATCGCTTAGTAGACAATGAGCAGCTGTAACGGTGTAGGGGCTCATGATACTACTTGATAGCTGAAACAGTAGGTAAAGCAGAATGCAAACCCGTGACTTTCTGTTGAAATTTCAGTGATCAAACGAATTCTTTACGGCTCCAAAGTATTCACAGATACACCCTTATAGTGAACCTCATACTGTAAGGCGTTAATACAGTTTGCAGTAGTACACAGATATGGAAGTAAATAAAATGATCAGTATCAGTGTTAGTAAAGATAAAAAGTTAACACTATGTACTATATTAACTGGTGCCTCCAACAAACGTTTTACCACGCTCCGTCTATCTCTTCATCCAAACTCCATTAAAGGTAACATCACTCCTTAAAATAGATTGATTAACTCCTTTTGTATGTAAGGATAATGCTTATTACTAGATAAACAGTAACCAATAAATAGACTGATTATTTCTCTGAAATATGAGTAAGACAATAACTGATTAATTGGTTTTGTAGAAACATCTGAATACTGGAATGCGAATAATAATCAAAAGTGAGGTTTTTTTAAACAAATATTATTAGTTATTCAGGCAAAAACGTATCTTAAATGGATGTAAATATTTATCTTCAGTGTCAATGGAACAGAATGAACATATTATGTTTTGAAATAGGGGAGAATATTTGTAGCTCAGGTGGATGGTCTTGGTTGCAATGTGTTCTCTGAGCTGGGCTGTTTAATCGTGAAGCTTTCATCGTTCTTCCAGACGACACCATCAACACTAACTTCAGTATGAACTTCATACTGAGCTGCAAATATTTTCCACTATTTTATAATTAGAACGAATTTCGTTGAGATGAGTTAATTTTATAGCACTGTAACCAGTTTATTTCAGTAGGCAATTGTTAAACAAACTAGCTAAAATAGCCTTGGCCAGAAAAATGATAATTTTGTGTACATTGCTTACGATTCAGTTTCATATATTTAGGCTTTGAAACAATAATCCCTAGGTTACTAATTTCACATTCTGTTGACTAAGGTACGGGTTCAGAATGCTAACCGGATCTCTACTTCAGTTGACTCGCTGAATTACATTCTGAAGAATAAACCTATTTGAGAAGGTAATATGCCTAAGAACAGATAATAATTCACTTGAAAGCTGGGTCAAACAGTTACTTGTTGAAGTAAGGTTACTTTTCATTTACCATTTGGAGAGAACCGATGTCGTAACCTGGAAGTTCGTTATATTATTCGTGATATGACTTAGATTTCCTTTGAATTTCAACTGTCAACTCTGTTAACGGAAACCAAAAATATAATTCTATGCGAAATAAAAACACCTTACTGCAAAGATTGTAAGTAGGAATAGGATAGTGAAGTATTAAAAAAGATATTAGCACATCATTCAGCTGCAGGAATGTCTAAAAGATGGTAATACGTTTTGTTATACTTTTATAAAACAAGATATATGGAGCAGTAAAGTTGCATGATACGTCAACAAACTAGTAGGGGGTATAAGTTATGGATATATTAATAATGGGAAATAAAATAGAATGATGCCGAAAAGTAAAAACGATGAGTTTTTTACTTTTGGAAAAATGAAGAAGACACTATAATTTTGTACAGTATTAAATATTTAGCTACCATTTTTTCTGCTGCACAAGGATGCTTTAAGCTCATGTAAAACTTCTTTGTCTGCTTTGTGAAAGTTTTTAATCAATTAACTAGGTATGTAAAACAATTTGTCTCTTTCATAAATTTAAGGGATTGAGAAGATAAATATTTAACTTCTTAATGCCTTATTTAAATTGATTGGGTACTTCGTAAAAATAATCTGCGAGAGAAAATGTACGTTAACCTATAAAACAGTGAACAATGTATCTATGGTTGTATATGACTTTATTAAGATGAGTTTATCCATAGATTGCATGTTGTTACAGAAGATGCATATCTAACAACTACAAAGGTGAAGGAAATGCTTTCGTTTCCGTGGATATCAGGTATACAATGTGAGGACACTACAATACTTAGTGAACACAATCTAGTTATTTTGAAACTTCATGCAACACTTAAAAAACTTTAACTTCATTTGACTATCACAGACCAGTACAAATTACCAGTCATAGATAAATACATTTTTGTTAAGGCAGTCACAATAAAATGTAAATGATGCTGAATATTCTATCGTGTGTGACTAAGGTACTGAAAAGAAGGATGTATGTCAGATTTATCTGTGTGTTTTAGTTTTCTTGTCAACAATTGTGTATTATCATACAAACACAAGTCCAAAATCAGTTGAGTTAGTTCTGAGTTAATGAAATGAAATAGAACTAACCAAGCGATGATAGTAACAACGTAAGGGGTTGAATAAACGCCTTGAGTAGACTTTTAAGAATAACAAATGCAACCTAAAAGTCAAAGGTAAGGTGATGTTTCTGAGACTGATCACCATCAAAACTTAATTGAATATTAATGAAGTTAATGTGTTGAAAACTCTTCATTTAGTGATCAACATGCTACTCAAGTGCACGTTTACGAAATCTGGGTAAATAAAGCTATTTTAACATTTATCAACGTGTTAGGAACTAGGTTTCCTGGACATTCAAAGCTACATTAATTCACATATACTTATTCGCTCTACAGCATTGCTCTACCTAATTACTATTGTTTCTACTCAAATATAGAGTTTCTTTTGTGAGCTGTGATGAAAACAGGTTAAGTTTAGATATATAAACTTTATTATGTGGTTCAGTGTTGTAACTGTTAGTCTGTTTCCTGCTTCAAACACCAACAGTCTTCAGACTGAAAAGATATTTTCCTAAAAATCTAATTCATTTGTTCCCATTCAGTGAAATTCATTTTCCCTGCTTGATTGCGTGTCTTTATGGATTATTCCCCTAACTACTTAAGACCAATCGAAAACAATTTCACCGTACAGTCTGTAGATTCAACTGGTCTCAATTTGATAGAACAAGAACAGTTGCATTTAATTTAAAATCCTACAAAAACAAAAATCCTTATTTACCATTAAGTTATCATGTTGAGAATGGGAACTTGGACTCACTAGTTCCATCAGTATACATTTAAACTAAAAGCAACATAATTATGAAGAAAATCAATTTGGCCATTGAATTCTTCTTAAAATAGATATAAAGTTCTTATTCACGGGTTGCTAAGCAGGTGGTATTTTCTGAAACACATTAGCAAATGTTACAATTCATGCAAACTTAGTTAAGTTCTTCAAACCTCCTATCTACTGGAAATGAATTGTTTTGCGATACTACTTGTGTCAGTAACATGGAAAAATAAGAAAAAAATTGGAAGACTGTGTAATTACTTTAAGCAATTAAAGTATATTCATTACGTCAAGAAGAATAGAAAAGAAATGAGTGTGTTATTTTTAACAGCTTCTGATTTGGATACTATATATTTGGAATGATCGAGTATTTTAAAATATCTTAGTATCGCCTTTTTATGCATATTGAACATAAAACTGACAAGCCTACGATTATATCTTTCTAAAATTTTGTTCTCTGTAGTTTTATGGTGTACTACAGAGATTTGTAACTATCAAACAGGTGTATTAATTTCACATCTTACTTGTCTATGGTTCTTTTAGAAAATCCTGCTGAATGACTTATTTTGGCTATTTCATACTATTAGATTGACTGGTTTCCTTAGTACTTTATGAACAATAATTTGAAAATAGACATAAATTATAGACAATTCAAAAAAATATTCTAAAACAGAGTTGCGAGAATCAAGTTCTCACTATACTTTTCCCTAGCCTATACATACAAACAAATAAAACCAATTATCATTTCGACTAAGATAACTGTGGATCCGCAGACTAGTAGTTATCCTGGGTGATGGATGAAGGTGAAATGAAAAGTTGGACCGCGGTCGGATTTGAACCAGTGGCTACTGGGTTTCCAGACAGGTACTCTACCAACTGAGGTATGATACAGAGTCCGAATCCGATCGCGGTCCAAATTTTTATTTCACCTTCAGTCATCACCCAGTATAAACAATACTAATAATAGAAATATAGTTATAGTCAAACTAACTACATCACGATAACAGAGATATAGGCTTTATACGTAAGGATTTTCACGTACTGTAAACCATCCCCCTCTATCACTATGTTTTCTTCCTAGCTGACTTAAGAAATGTTATCAGCGACAAGATGAAACATCAACTGGAGAATCTGTAATATATATATATATATATATATATGTATATATATATAGACATGAATAATGGTGCAAATAAAAGTCAAGTCATCAAAAGAAAGAGATAATAACAGCTATAAATCAAAGGAGTCATGCATAAAATAGTAAATGTAGCCTTTTTTGATTGGCGGATACTTTTTATCATGTACACGTAAAATTCGATGGAGAAAAGCTACATATCTATCTTTTTGCTACTTTTAATCACCAATTAGTGATAAAAAGACCAGAAAAAGCAGTCTTATTATTATTACCTCAATAATATATTTCACTTAATAATAGTGTCATTTAGTTTAATTATAACGGTTAAAACTACCTAGATTCGTCACTTAAAGCCAATAACTTACTAGAGAACGGTTTCAAATCACAGTGATTATCCTCAGCATGATAACTCCTAGAGGAAAGTAACATCAAGTAGTCTGACTATCCATATGGAAGATTATATTAGCATGCAGATGCAGGTAAGTACTGCACAAATCGCTGAATCAATTCAACAGTTTATTTACTTCATGAAGAAAATTTGCATCTCGGCAGAATCATTACAAGTTAATCAAGCTAATTATGAGCTCGAAATTTTTAGGTGCATACATCCTAATAACATATTAGTCGTTATCCATGTGCAAACAATAAATGTTACGAATTGTACAAAAAATAATAGTGCAGAACCTGGCTGGGCAACTAAGAAAATATTGCAATATAGCTTTTGTATGTTTAAAAAATCAAAACAAGATTTTTCAGATGTAACTGTGTAAGCTTCATCAATAGGATTTTCGTCGGTAAACATGCTGGGATAACTTTCTGAATGAAATCGCCAGCAAATCGAGGGGATTGCACAAATAAGTTGGTGTGCCTGTGGTACATTGGCTTAGGGAGTAGACTATCAGCCAGTGGGTCACGGGTTAAAACCCCACCAACCGAGGTTTTGGCAGCAAGGTGGTATCACTAGCCCTCATATAATAGGTGTGGTTCATCGCCTACTGAATGGGTGTGCACAAGGTGTCTGAGTGCGTTTTTTAAAAACAGGTTGTGCGCAAACAGTCGGTGATAAATATAGTCCATACAAATCAAGAGAGGGGAATTGTTAATTGTACTCAATGCACAAGGAAAGGTTAGTGCAATTCAGTAAGTTAATCGGTAAAGCTATGGTGTTGGAATTGATGACCAATTAGTTCGACTTTTAGTGGATATGCAGGTGAAAAATCCCAAATAGGATGAAACGTGTGTCTTGAATTTCATTGTTGGTCATCTTCAAACACTAGGTTAGATTTTGGTGAAAATATCCTCACAATGATAAAATTACTGATTATCCTTCAAAACTGAACTGGCTCAAGTTTTTATATGCATAAATTAAACGAGTGGAAAATTACATCAACCGTAGTGATAGGAAATATAGAGAGCTTTAGAAAATAAAAGCTTACCGTAAGCAAAAATTCTAATTGATGACTATACATTGATTCCGTTAACAAGACCTCTTTGAAGATATTTAAACAGCCTGAAGCGATGGTCAGTAGCTGAAAATAGGAAATTAATATGAGAAAGTTTATTCCATATTTGAATCGGAATTAATAGGAGTCAGCAAATATTTTTAATTTAGAAGTAGTATTCATCATGGACTGACATCAGTTGGGGAACCATGATGAAGACTACTTCTAAATTAAAAATCCCCATTCATCTCAAAAATATTTTTAAATGGAAGACGATGAGATTCGAAACAAAATAATGAAGCTATGAATTAAAATAGGTGAGGATATTAAACTATCAGACGGGTAGCTGATTAATTCTGCACAGAAAACGTTTTAACAAATACAGATTCCCGACACCGATTTGAAAATAACCGGACAGTTTTCTTATTTTCTTATTGCTCATCGACGAAGAATCTTAGCACCAACAGTAAAGTGATATATAGCCATTCAGCAAGAGAAGTTGAGCTCAGCTTTTGTCTGACAGTAGAAGGATGATTACACAAATGAAATATAACAGAAAAAGTATATATGCTCTCAAGCAGTAATTAATTTATAAAGTTATGATAAAAGATTTCATGATTTACTCCATACGATTTCGCTAAATTAATGCGGATCTTTATTTTCACCAAAAAATATCTTCAGCATGAGCACGATGAACAAGGTTAAAATAGAAATCAAGTAGCTGGAGGATACGAACTAAGGGCTGTTCCAGTTGTTTATTGGTTGTGTTACAAAATCAGAGAGCTGACAACTTTTTAGCATGATTTTTACGTCTAGTTTTTGTCTTAAAATTCTCCTCTTTTTATCACCCTAACTATCAATCCAAGCCTTCTGACTTCAGTTGAAGTTGAGGTGAGTTAGATAGGGAAACGGTTGAATACCTACTAAATAGCTTTTGAGATGAAATCAGATTATAGACTGGTAATCGCAACCAAGGTGCATGTAAAGTGAATGTCAGGATGATTCAGAAGAAGTAATGAGACCAGATTGTTTGGAAGTCTGATTAGTTTAACTTGAAAGAAATATAAGTAGAATTTAGAACTTTTTGACTTTCTTATGACTAAACTGCATTTCCTGAAATCTGTGAAACGCATTAATTCTCAGTTACCAAGGAAATTCGCTCAATATATTTGGATATTTCACCAGAAAGAACTCACTCAGTAGTTGGTCTCTAAGGGAAGGTGTCGAAGTATGCTATGCAAGATACTGAATTAATAAACGTGACTGCGATTGAAATATTTATGGATAAATTATGAATGTCAGTGTTAAGGAAAACTAATAAAGGGCATAAAATAATGATAATGAGTATGGGAAGATCAAATTTATATCCAGATTTGTAAAAACGTTGATGAAGTCAGTTTTTATTGATTAACGGTAATGAGTAGAAAACACGTGACGCTACGTTTCCAGTCTCTGCCACCTACAGAAGTTATAAGTGGTGGAATCTAACAGTGAGTACTGTCATGAGTACACATCAAATATTGATTCCGATAAAGAAAATCTTTACTTCCATCTAGCTAAGCCGATATCGGGTGCAATGCTAGGCTATGCTTCATTATGGATGAACGATTCTCTAACGGTGAAAAAACGCTAAATATCTTCGGTTTTCATTGATTAGATGCTTTACAGTGGCACTGTAGAGTAGGACTACCATGTACAGAAAGAAAAATAATGGAATTAGATAATTAAAATTGTATATTCGAAAAAAATATCGAAATATCACTAGGAGTCAACTGAACTGAGTATTGTGAGCCATAGCGTCAATGCCTATCTAATTTCTTTGATGAAGTAACACTCAATAAGGGTAACGCCAGATTTTTCCAGTAGTGTTTTGAGAATCCAGAATGGACGTTTCATTATTTGGATGAGGCGCTTGAAAGTAAGTGTTGTTACTCGAAATGAAACTTCAGCTCAGCATACACTTCAGTGTTTATTCATTGTGCAACCAGTGTCAACATCAAATTACAGACAATTTAACTATCGGCACAGGAAACCATATATAAGTGGTCGACAATTAACCTAATCCAAACAAACACACAACGAGAAAAACAGTCCAAAAGAAATTTTAAGTGCTTCCGAGTAATTGTTATATCATTTGTTTAAAAAACGCCTATTCACCCATCTGTATACTTCATACAGATATGCATGACTTTGCGAAAAATACAATGCTAATACACTACACTTATTACATAAGCTACGTTTTCTTCTTTTATCAAAATCTATAAAAGAAACTAACGGTTTCAAGACACAGAAAACGTTTTGAAGGAATTTAGCATTTCCTCAGCAACTTTGTCTAGCACTCACAAATTGTCCAATTTTTGTCAACATGAACGGTCGGACTCGGTCCTGAGTTTAGAGAGAGAGAGAGAGACTTCATGTGTTGGATGAAAACGATCATTTCGAAGTGGAAATTACAGATGCAGATGGAGGAGTTAGAAGACAATTAGTATCAATATTGAACTTCATGCATCAGGAGACATACATATTGATCGGTTCGCAGCTACGTAGTGAGAATTTAATACCACACAGCTGCTTGAGAAAAGAAGTCAAGTTTTCAATGATACTTGTCCCTAACTTTGCTGCATTTTAAGGTTTTTTTTGATGTGACGGGATTAAACGGTTTCATGTGTGATTATGTCGAGACGTTTGCATCTAAGAAGCAACTCCAGTAAACACATTCATTATAAGTCTGGAGATAATGAAAGTCTGGTCAGAATTTCATGATAGTCAGAAAATAATCTACATCTTGGCACATGAACCAAAAACAACTGTTGAGTGAGATTAGCTGAGTGATCTACGTTTGATTGTTACAACTTAAATTTCATTTAAAAAAAAGTTTCACATGCGTGTTTTTATTTTCCTTCACTGTGTTACAGCAGAGAAAGACAAATTATTGCTTTATACATTACACTTTCTGTTTTCTTATGGTTTACTATGGGATCTTCAGACTTTTCGCATTTTATTTTTTCAGCAACCTTTTCATTCCTAATATGGAGTTGGTCTTCGCTGTGAATCTGTTGTTTCAGTTGTGAATTTCAACTATAAGTAGCTTAAATATTGCTACCACATCTCATAAACAGAAAAGTATATCTATAAGTGATTTAACTGCAAACCACCTAAAATAAAAAGAAAGAAATGCGTACCAATAACATTATGAAGACATCTTGCCAAAATACGTTGACCCTTAGTTCAGGTGGTTTTCAAGATATGACAAAACTGTAAACTGAGTGATGTTATAACGAAAGGAGAAGCTAGGAAAGCTATATTGTAAGCATAAATTAACTCTTCTGAAACAGGAAATCATAATTATCTAATTTAGTTTTCATAAAGAGTGTCTTCAGTACAAAAACAATCCTAAATTTGGCTTTCACTCCAATCAATGTGAAAACTTCAGATTTATTGGCTACTGTGAATTTCTGTTATCATCTATCCATAGTAATCAGTATTTTTCATCTCATCTGTTCACTAGTGATGAAAATGAGGGGAGAGAGAAAACTTGGCCACCAAGGATTGGACGTGTTCACATATGTTACAACAACAACAACAAAATGAAGAAAATTATATGTAGAATTTTTGTTTTTGCTAGTTATACAAATATCTCAGTTGCATAAACCACACACTGGAATCAGAGTTTTTGTGGGTAAGAGAAAAATATAAAAACAGTGAGAAGCGCGAATGTTTATGGTTACTGAGTATTGATTACCATGATAATAGTTTCTACCAGGTTCCCTGGAATATTGAGAAGCTACCTAAAACTATAGCAAATAAGAGAATATGCTCTCTTGTTTTTAAAAATTCATCTATATCATTGACTAGTGCGGATCTGCACACAGGTCAAGGACGATATGACACATTTTTGTCATTAAATATTAGTGGAAAACAAATAAAGATGGGTACTGTAATGGGATCATTAACCGATGGTTCGACGGCTTCTAAATAACTAACAGGTACAGCGGCACTACTTTTAAAGAAGAACTTATAAACTACATTTCCTCAAAGAAAGAAAGTAAGCAAAAACAAAAGTTCTTTTACAAATTAATTATAAGGTATTCACAGAGCACTTAGTACAGAGTTAAGTGGACTACTTACCGCATTACAGAGTAAGAAACTATGAAACTCTCCATAACTCGTATATGAAAATTAGAACTGTCAAACGGTCGTAACACCTTTTCCAGATACTGAAAAAACTACTTATTGACGCATATAAACTGTTGGGTATTTTGTGACAAACTCGAAACATGTGCCGACAGGAAATGGCTTACAACTGTTGAAAAAAATGCCTTTCATGGGAGTAAAACGACATCAAGGCAGTCACAAACAATTTTTAAGTTATTTTACGAAAGCAGGAAAACCGTTTTACAAGAATAATTTCGAAACCACTCATATTTGCATAAGAATAATGGATATATATATATATATATATATATATATATATATATATATATATATATCCAAAACTATACCAACATAGCAAGGTTTGACAAGAAAGTAACAACAATTGGCTTGGTATATAGCAGGATAACTTTCAGTACATATTGATAAAGACAAGCGTTTGAGGGTAGATTATTGCTGACTTTATTGCATAAAAGTTGTCAAACCATATCCTGTTTTAAACTACCTGATATGAATTCATAGATATATTCGGAAATGAACATCAGTGAATCTGCATGAGAAAAATTGACCATGTCTTGTTATCAGATGGCTAGCATCTATACACTTTTTTATAGACAATAGAATGGGATAACTTTCAAAACTATGTTCAGAAAAAACCCATTTCATATGGCGAATAAAACAGAGTTCACAACAGATGATAAAGTTACAGAAACACATAAAGTAGATTGAGGGAAAGATTTACTTTTGGAATGAGTACTTGGTTGAAAACAACACACCAGAGGTCTTGTTACCTACATCAGCATTCACAAATACTTCAAATCATAGTGGCAAGGAAAAATATCTATGAGTTGTTTAGGTTTATGAGCAACTTAAGGGAATTCCAGAAAACGATTTTTATCACATGGTTGTATTATTTTTGTTTTCGGCACTAACGAGGCTCCCTTCCAATTCGCTTTCAACAGTATGAAACATTCAGATATGTAAACGGGAAAGGAAAAAGGGAACCAATAATATTTGGACAAAATTCCAATAAAAGTTCCATCATACTTGGAGATTAAGTTATTAAAAAACAAGATGTTTTGAACTTTAAATTTGGTAATTGCGCTTTAATTAGATAAGTTATGTCGCATTGCTTTTCACTGAAAAACAACCGATAAAGTAACATTCACCTATCTGAAGACTATCAGTTTTTGAACTGATATTATTTTCTACCACTTTACAGAATATATAGATAGAAAAATTATTAAAACTGTCATATCTGCTTTATACGCTACTTATTCAGAGGTAAAATTAACTTGAAGGACATCGACACTCAAAATGATGTGAGTTCTTGTGAAATATTGGGGGAAACTTTGAGTTTATTTCGAGAAACGACTAGGTGTCTTGTAGATGATATCTCTAAGGAGACAGTGGATTCAACACCACTACTACAAGGATTGCAGTTCATGTAGAAAATGAGAACGTGCGTTTGTAACCGAATTACTTCTGTCCGATGTGTGCTTAAAGCATACACAAATCCATACTGAAGAAACACTGATTAAAATTAATTCCATAACGCCTAATCAAAAAAACAGTAGATTGAGGTAAATAATGACAGCTAACAATTCTATAGTAAGCAGTCTTAAAACTCATTAACTGAATGATCCATTTCGTCGCGAAAACAGATCTTTCTTTGAACTCTCTGTGTATTAAACAGAACCATTGGGAATGCAACTGGACAAGGTTTATGAAGATGATATTCCTATACAAAAACAGATAAAATTGAAGCATGAAAAATTCTTATTACTTTTTTAAAAGATACCAAATGAAGGAACATGATTTTAAATAGGATGCTAATGCATTAAGTTCTGTAGATATCCAGACAAACAACTTACTGAAACTAGTTGGAGATGCTCAAAAGAAGTCTGCTAGATTTTCAGGAACTAAAATAAAAATTTGCTTGCCTTAAACGTGAAGAAACACTTTCTGTATAAAAACTAACAGACTTTAATACATTGAGTTAGGCAGAAGATTCTTTCAGAAGTTACTATGATATAGGAGGACCAGGAAATGTCCGGAGAAAAACACATCGAGATGATTCACACTTGAGAAATTCTCTAATTCACAATCATCAATGGAACAAGAAGCATAAGACCTAAGCGCTTTATATAGGTTATGCTCACATCTGAAACTAAAGTTTATAGTCTAACATTTTGAAGAACTAAGCACAAGACCATTCGTGGAGGATCATTGTCCTATAGTCGATAGGAAATCGTTCAGCTAGGAACAATCAGATAAAGAGGAGATATATAAGAAAAGTGTCAGGTCATCAGGATATTTGATAAATGTGATACTAGCTGAGGACGATAAGTCATATAGAAAGAAAGAAAGAGAAAAGACTGAGGAAGGAATAGCACCTTGAAGAACACCAGCCTCAATAAGCAATGGGGTGGAGCGCCTCCCTCTGTGGATAAATAATGTGTTGTTTCCTTTCAGAGAAATAGGAATGCAGTCAACTAATTATTTAGGACTCATTATGTGTTCAGGCTAGCCTGTCCACCAAGAGAAGTCTTGAGCCAGAATTAAATGCCGCAGTGCAGTCTAAGAAAGCACACCTGAAATACTTTGCATTCCTTTCAAGATCATAAGCAGTATTGAGGATAAGATAGTTGCGGCATCCAGAGTGCTTCTTATACTTTTGTAGGCAAACTGATTAGGATCTTCAAAAACTTTCGATGAGAGTTCAAACGCAGGTATTATCAGCTGCTTCGTTATTTTCAAGAACGGAGAAGTAACTATGATTGGATGGAATTTCAAACAAGCCCCTGGAGTCAACAACTTAGGTGCAAGAACTATCCTAATATCTTTTTCAGGAGGCCGGTGCTGTATTTTCTGAAAACAATCTATTAAACATGTTAGTTAATGGATGGCACAATACATCAACACATTTTATGAATATGAAACTTGACATGATATTCGGACCCAAACTGTATGAAGAGTTCAAGGATTTGAGACACTTGAAGACACTTTTCTCGGTGAATTTTAGACAAAATTCTTCACTGGAAATAGGCTAACAGAATGGAATAGGACAGTTGAGTTGGCGTATAAACGATTTGTTTAAAGCACATACGTCAACACATGCCTCTTTACTATTATGTTTACTACCAGTGAGATCTGTAAAAATTTCCACGTGCTGGGAGAGCCTTTGCATGATAAAATTTACTGGTTATACAGTAGATTCAGGCGTTTAATTTCCAACGTTATTAAAACGTTCAATCGACGAGCATCGGTGTTATCACTTACTTTATTTAGCCTTTATTTTCCTCTTTGCAGTAAAATTAACTCACTATTGGCAAGTATTTCTTCATACAGAAAAAAAATCATAATATTAAAAGAAATATGAGTCTGATGAAGATTCCAATTGGATGCTACAGATAAAATAAATGTGTTTAAAGCTTTGGTAAAACAAACTGAACAATATCAGTACACGTGAACACACTCACCTCAGAAATATTTTGGTCAACTTTATGTGATGTACCATTGAAATCTGGTGTAGAAATATTATGTGATGAGAGCATTGATGGAATTAATGAATCAGATTCTTTCGGAGAATGTCTTGATGGTGTAGTACATTTTGAGAATAGCTGTTGGGACTTCGCTCGAACAAGTTCACAAGTTGTTAGGGCTGAAGATTCTATTTTAGTTTTTCCAGCCTCGACATTATCCATGTTAGATGATGTATTTTGTCTTAGATGAGAATTATTTTTAGTGACAGGTAAATGACTTAAACTTTTTGATAGTTTAACTTTCGAACCTTGATCTGAATCACGGCATACTGAGGTTTTGTTCAGAATATCATCGTGTTTACTGTTATACAAGTTGTCGTCATCCCCACCACTATCATCATCTGATAAACCCGTAATCAGAGAGATAGCGCCTAATGAAATAGCATCAGCTAAGCTTTCTGGGGCTTCATCCACATTCATTAACTGGTCAGACTGAATATCACTCTCCAAGTCATCTAATAATTCACTTTGTGCGACATCAGTCATAGATGCAAGACGACTTTTATCATCCTTTGATGAAATGTCTTCGCTGAATGCTATTAAACTATTGAATAGTGAGTTATCACGAGATTTTCTAGGTGAATGCTGATTTTTTGAAAACAAACATCAAAACAAACAAACGAAGATTAAATATGAAGTAATGAAACATTTTAAAAGATTGCATAGAGTAAACTATTATCGTTCTGTTTTATACATGAAGTGAAATAAAGAATTAATCTTTATGTATATACTTTCAAACAGTCAAATGTTGAAACAAACCTTATATAACTGCAGGAATAAAATAGAACTTTATTTCTCGAAGACTAAATACAAATTTTTCAAAAGCACTCTAGTCTGATGCTCAAATGAATCTTCTTCCTTTTCAGTCGAAACGATAGTGACGAAAGTGCCACTTGTGATCCAATAACTAACACTGGACACCGATAAGTATTTAGAAAGTAGTATAAGTGAAACAATTATGCTCTAATTATTCGTCGAAAAATTCAGTTTCGTAGATGATAAAAGTAGTATTCATATTGACAATATGATTGAAATCCTATCTAAAATATGGCTGTGCTTGGAACATACTTTGGCTTTTAACAAATGAACATAGATTAGCTCAGTCTATAACACACTTAACTGGTTGCAAAATGTTATATATATATATATATATATATATATATATATATATATATATATATATATGAGTCAAATATGATCTCTGGTGTACTTAGCATTTTCAGACGTTGCAGTTCAATGGTATATGGTACATATAACGTAGTAAAACTTTATTTATGCATTTTTATGCACCCCAACACTTTGATTTAAAACTAGAAAATGAGACTGTAGGGACTCCGAATATCTCATAAACCTACAAATGAAGCTTTTTGTACAATAACAATGCATATATATATATATATATATGTGCACGGAAGTATTTCTAAAATCGTAACTCACTAAATCGACGAGACTGACATCGACAGAAGCAGTTTCATTCTGTCCAGGGTCTGTTTCACTCTTACTCTGATTAGACCTATCATCTTCATTCCTTTTTTCCTCCTCTGATTGTCTTGTATCATCATCTTGAGAAAATACTTCAAAATTTCCCCCAGAGACTTGGGATGGTGAATACGGTTCGTATATATTATTATCCTCCATGATTTGATGACTAGAAAAGTAAATATAAATTTATAGAGATGTGATATATATTCCTATGAGCAGATTAGTTTGATCAGTATAACATAATTTGTGATGATGCTTGCCATTTACTCTCAGTTTACTAATATCTGAAAACCATGAACGTTCTGTAATACCCTGAAATTCTTCAGCAGTAAGTATTTCTGCGGCTAATTTCTAATGATTCAAGCTGTGTGATGAGAAATTCATAATTATTGATTCAGTAGGCCAAATTTCGGTGGTTTATAAAACGGCAAAACGTGGAAATTACTGATAACAAAACAAATGCATTACAGAATATTATTCAAGTTATAGATTCCAGTTTTTTCAATTCACTAATTTAGTCACGTTTAGACCACCTTACTAATTAATCACTGATTTTTAAGATTCCAATTGATCAAATTTAACTTTTACATTGGGAATACAAAACTGAATGAAATTTTTTCGTAAATTGTCGTTTTATTAGGTTAATGAATTCTTTTGCTCAATATATATTTTTTAGCTGTCACCTTTACAAACTCTGGGATTTTACGCTTAAATAGATATGATACAAAGACGTATATTGATTGTAAGCTACACCCGATAATACAACTACTTAGTGAGTGTATTCAGTGCTATCGGTCTGAAAGACGCATTAGCATTTTAGTGCTCAAAATTTCAAATAACTGAGTGCAACAAATACTAGATTTTGGATGTGATCGCAGTTGTACCACCCTACACAAAATTCTGATTTAATTGTTGGAAAATGTGAAATATCCATACAAATCAGTATTATTAATAGTGAATAGGTACTTTTGTAAAAACAAATATGACAATAATATGAATCAGTTCACTCTGAAAAGCATATTTCGAACGGATGACATTCAAGAAGGGTCACTTTAAACACCTGTATTTAGATGAATTCCTCACGATGTCTTGAATGCGAATAGAAGTCGAGAGGATATACGATTCACTAATAAGCAGTTTTTCCAAATAAACAGTACTTTGTCAAGTAGACTAACGATATCCATTAAAATAATGTATCTAGAAGATTGCCAAGACTAGTAAGAAATTCCGTGGTAAACTGTTATGGGAGCAACTAGTCCCTTTGATGAGTTTGGATAATGTAATAAAAAGACGGGGGTCATCTGAGAAATGTGATGTATCTGCGCAATACATTTCAAACAATCTGGTCACACATCTACTTGTCAAGGCATTTTACATAGAGTGAAAATAGAGAGGGGTAAGGCAAATAAATCAAGATAATATAAGATTTGAAAAATTTAGAGATAATAAAGAGGAATTAAATATTTTTTTTAATACCTCCCATTGGCATTAAAATGAGACAGATTACCAACGTGAGTTTAAGGTAAGGAAAAGTAGTTTTTGAACGTACAAAAAGGGCTTAAACTTTCATACAGCTAAGGCTTCAATAAACTTAAGTAAACGGTCTTCACGGCTTCAATATAATTGTATAAAGGGTATTTTGGGGTCAAGTCTATGGTCGGCTGCTGCAATTTGTTTATTTATGGACGATAACGTCTGTCTAGCTGTTGCATTTACCGGATTATTTGAGTGGTGGTAAAGGGCTAGTACGTCATTGCGGCACCGTTGTTAGCTTATATCTATGTCACATGTAAAACTTCTGGTTGAGGACTAATTCAACAATGTCCGTCTATGAGTTGTTGATATCTTGGCTCTACGTAACAAACACGGGGATGTGAGGAGTTTTCTAGATAGAATTAACACCATACAAAGCCACATCAGTTTATCTTATGAAGCAGAAAATAATAATCACCTTCCTTTTCTTGATATAGTATAAATTAGAAGGGAGGTGGGGTCGATAAAAAGACAAATGTACAGAAAAACTACGTGGACCAAACAGTACCTAGACATGCAGTTTTTGTCGACTACAGTACAAACGAGATTTAGTAAACTGCTTATTGAAAAAAGGACTTAAAGTATTTACACAACAGACGAATTGGAGGGAGAAATTAAATTCTGACCAGAGACACTCATGAAGTTCGTCAATTGTTATAAAAACGTCTCAACCGTGAAAACTATTCTATCCCAAAGAGGGACGTTTATATCCTGCCACCTTATAAGAGGGAATAGAATAGAATGATCTTGAGACGAAGGGTTAATTCAGTTATTAAAAAGACATTATGCAGCCAAGCTCAATACTAAAGAAAAAAAGAAATTTATGCTTCAAAATAAACCACATCACTAAATAGATTATCAAATCACGTATCGCTTTGTACACCACTTTACATGTTTGTGCAAAACACATACATTGGGAGGAGCAGTAGAACTATGAAGTCGAGGGTGGTGGAGCACCATAGGAATTAAAGCTGATCAGAGATATAAACAATCAAAACAGTTCGAAGGTTTAAAGAGAAAATGAAATAGATGAGAAAGAAAGTAGTTAGTCAAACAGGCTGTTTTAATTAGCTCACTCACAATTATGTATGAAAGCGAATATGAAAAAATGTGAACATTCGTTTTGTGTGGAACTGCACCGAAGATTATATTTAAACTGAAGGCGACAGCTTCCTCTATGAAAAAGTATGCTTTAAGACCCATAGAAACTCAAAAATATATCACTTTTAAGTTTTTAGAATGGTTTTATAAATTATAAAACAAAACTGAGCACAGTTTGTGTATGAGTAACTTTACATGAAGGAAATCTAATGATGAAGGAGAAGAGAAATGAAATCGCAGTGCTCATTATCGTAGCACCATCTTGTATACTGTACAGCTTTACTGTATAGAACCCTCAGCACTGCAATAATCGGTTACTGGATTATGCCATGTAGGAGACTGTTGAATTCTCGGTTGTAGTCTGTGTGATAACAGAAACCGGTGGCTGTAGACTCCACGTGACAGGGCTCAAAATCGATCTCAGTGGTACAGATGTATCTATACATTATCTTCATTTTAATTGTGACACTGAGTTCAGAATGTTCTCACTGCTCATTCCCTTTTTCTACTACTTTCTACTGTTGACTGCTTCCTCCTTAGTTTGTTCATCTTTCACCTGACTAAAGCTTTCTCGCTTGATGTGCTGATATGAAGTGTGGTAACCTAAACCATTACACAGTAATGCTTGGTCCAGTGTTGATCTTGTCTGTTTATCTGTATGGTAACACCAATGGAGAGTAAAGTATAATAAGTAGATTGATGAAATATTCGTCAGACATAGATAAAATCAACGTAGAACCTCGCATAAAACCGCATCAGATCACGTTTACCACAATTCACAGCATCATACAAAGAAAAAGTGAGTAGAAAAAGATTGATATAAAAGTGGAGAAAGGTAAATGGAAGGAGAAACAATTTGAAGACGAAGGTTAGTGAAAATAGTCAGCCTTTATAAGGCGTCAAACAATGAACTCATTTATGCCATTGCGACCGATTTTCAATTATTTCAACGGGTCCCCAACCACTGATTCTATGGTTTCGGGAACCCCAGCCAGGTACTTTATGGACTAGTGCCTCCTTGTAATCTGACGAGACTAAGCCTTCTTCTAAAATAATCCAACTTCTACGTCAAGGTAGGTGGTGGTTCGGGATGCGTAGTATATCTACAAGGCACATCATTCGAGGAAAGTTCACAAAGTTCTCCTTTTATATCTGAAAGTAAAACGAATTTCGTAGAATGAAAGCAGTGAATGCGGTCGTTGATGTATTTTTTTGGAAAATTGGGAAATACAATAATTATCAAGCATAACTGATCATCCCAGTCCAGTCAGATCAATAGCTACCCAATTCAGTACTCTAAAAAACACAATATTAGTTTGGCAAAATCAATTTAGGTCTGGAGAATAACTAACAGATTCAAATACTATTAGTTTCGACGTAAGATTAAAACTTGGCCAACGTGACAGAGTACAGTTGTGCTTTAAATAAACTGTACAGTAGAATGGTACTATTCATTGGATAACGTTTTGGATATGTGTTTGTTCATAGTCATAATAAAAATACTTTCGCTACTTTGAGTTTACGGAGTTACCTTGAAATCTATTTTGTTATTAAATTCTAGCTGAAAAATTATCAAGTTAGCAATATTATTTCGCTACGTACAACAATACCATACAAATGGTCTTAAATAAATCAATTCATTGTAATTAGATTTAAAATGAATGCTTATACAAAATGATCAGGATTTTAGGTCGGAATTTTGATTTCAATTCCAAATACTGATGTAATCGTGAACAGTAATTTTGTTCAAAGTATTATCAAGACTTCGAAATCTGGTCACTGTGTATCAGCAATAAAATCAAATCAACTTATGATCAAATTGTGTGAAATAACACACATTAAAAGAATAAGACAACAGAAATTAAAGCAAATAGCATTTAAATCATAACTTACTTAACTATGGAGTATGCATTAACTGATGTGATAACTTTTTTCAATGAAACATTATTAGTTAATTTACTGAAGGCTTCTTCATCATTGTCTGTATCTGTAGAAGCAATGGTTTGCTGACTATCAACATCTGAAATTAGTTTATGCAAACTTTTATTCGAAGTTGAAAAATCCTCTTTTTCCGTTAACCGATCATTACACTTTTTGTGGATATCATAAGTTTCTTTTTCACATGTTTGATTAACGGATAACATTAACGGAGATTGTATTGAATTCGTAAAAGACTGAAAATATTGCATAAGAAAGAAAAATACTGTAGACTACGTAGAAATCAATAAATTAACAGTACACTATGGAGCTATTCACTTAGGTGAGTTAGACTGATAATTCAGACTTCCTCATTAAGCGGTGCGATTCATTTGTATAACCAATTAGCTACACAGATGTAAAATGGATTAAACAAACAATTTCTATGCAGTAAGTTTTCTACTAGCTTGTCACTTTCTGCCAACTAATAAATGATTTTCCATTACCAATTTTTATGATCACAAATATAAACTATCTGAAAGCTAAGTATGAAGAGCAATCTAGGTATCTAGTTGCATATTCCGGAACTGTTTCCATGACAGTCTACTCAAGCTAAAAACAAACAAACAACGAAAGTGCAGAGAAACAGCACAAACTCCATACAGTGAATAAAAGTAAGTGTTTGCAAGAAATGTCTGGGCCAATTTCCAATTGATATTCATATATCAGGAGAATGCCAAAATGGTTTTAGTGATTATTAGCCATTTACTAACTTATATAGCTCTAAGACTAGAAACATGACATCTTGTTATCCGGAATATAAGTTAACGGAGGTGAAATCGTATACTACATTTACTTTGTGATAAGAACCTAAATATCCAAATCTGCGACTCTGCAACTTGGTAAAACGCGAAACTGTTACTGTGTAACTCATATTTATTAAATGATACATATCGAACTGCTTAACACATTAAACAATGTCTATTGCAACTCAAATAAAACGTGGAGGATAGAGAATAGAGTAATCAAAGATGAATAATAAAGACAAACAGAAAATAAGTAAATGAGTGTAAAACTTTAAAAAATGCGCTATTCGACTGAAATAAGACCGAAAAGGAAATAGTAGAACGGAAAGGACAAAATATTATTAGTACTGAGATGTTCGCTATTCAGTGGGAAGTTAAAGAGTGACATATTTCTTTTAACTGTTGATTCTGAGTCTTGCCAACTTAATGACCACTTGAGTTAGCCAGCTAGCAAATATATTACAATCAGATAGGACTTTTATACATTGAATGAAAGGATATTGCGGTTGGCGATGTTACTTATGAATGTAATAGCTGTACATTTTTATGAAGACATTTACATAGTCCTTCCAAGAAAGCACTTGTATGTTCAAGTGAAAAAGAAATAAGGCGATAGTTTATATTGATTAGGAGTTTAAATCTATATAAGATAAATGATTAGTTTATAAAGGTGTTCACACGCCCATGTATTGAATTAAGGTACTTAATGAAACATTAAGCTAAATTATTTCGCTATGTGAAAGAACCAACTTGAAGAGATATTCCTAAAGAGTTCCATCACACTAATGGAATGCAAAGAGAAACAACGTATAAAAGATTTATCTTTTCAATTGACTGGTCAATAAACCTCATTTTCCTCAATATATAAATGCCGTATTCAATAACCATGGTATAATGATCTAATCTGATCATCCCATTTCTGGTAATATTCTTCACTTTTTATAAAAATGTGATGTGGGATCGATATATTTTGAAAAGCGACTCATACGACAAGTCCTTAGATATAACCAGAATGTGTTTTAATTAAAGTAAGGTAGACAGTTCGACACTGCTAGTTATTTCTTCCTCAAGCTATCTTTCATGTCGATGTGAATCGACTACAGTTTGACATCTGTCGAAAGATTTTCATATGTGAAGACAAGAAATCCCTTGAATTAGATGTTCAGTTTGTGAGGATTTATTAGAAAGATGATTTTCAGCCTTCAAGAGATGCCTATGAATTACAATTCACGCTTATCCAGCAGTAAATTCAGAGGCTTTATCACCTGGCTACTCATGCAGATAGCATTAACCAATAAAGTTATGTACGCAAGTTGGTCACAGTGTTGGATAATATTGTACTTTAGAGTAACGGTGAATAGTGGTTGGCAGTGGAGTCCAAAACGTATGTTCTGTCCTAATTGGGACTCGTCAGCTCGATGTTCTTGCCACTGCTAGGCACTATCCATCACTACTGTAAAATTGAAGCAACAGGAAATATCAAGGGAACCATGTAGGAGCCCATACACCAATAGAGACCGGTTAAATGGATCCAATCAATAATGGGATAACACAAGCGACAAGATGAGAAAAAATATTATACTTTATTACCCAATAGTGAATAAAATCTTTTAATCACAAGTTCATTACAAATAAATCTAGATAAAATTATTGGAGACAAACCTGTATATTTTCTCGAGTGGAAATTACAGACATAGGTGATGTATCCTTTTCATCTGCACTATAATCCAGTTCACAGATTTGAAGATGAGATAAGTCATTTTTTGAAGTTAAAAGAAATTGTGTATACTCTAATGGTTCATCATAAGATACTGGTCTTGGATATGATTCAGACGTGAGAGAACATGAAGATGAAAAAGTCGATGCATTCTCAGATGGTTTGGATATATTCACAGAGTCTAGATGAATGAAGAGTAGATAGCAAGACAATAGTAGTTAAAGTTGTTTAGTCATAAAATTATCTAGAATTCCCCTGGATGGTAGACTATGACATTTTAAAGGAATGTGGAGTGAATTTTAACTAAAACCTATGCAAATTTAGGGTAAAGATATGCAAAGATTGAATAACACATATTAGATTTGTTTATTTGATATAAAGCGCACAGTGACACAGTATTATAATTATCAAGTAAATAATACTGTATCACTGTGCGCTTTATATCACATGAACAAATCTAATATGGAATTACATTCTACCACAGTGCCCAAGTTTTACATTTATATTATTGAATAACACAGTCAGTACTGCATGAGATGATCGTAAAGATTTACGCTTTTGTCTATGCATCTTATATTGTTAGTGTGGTTCTTCAGTTTCCAAGCTTATCTTTTGGTCTAGGCGACAACAAGTATTCTTTTACCATAAACGTTTTTGACTTCGTGTTACTTCTTAATGAACAGAGTTTATATTCAGTACCCCATCAAAATAAGTATAAACACATTGTCGATATTCTAAATAAAAAATAAAATCCCTGATTAGCATCTGTGTCCCACGGTAGGGCATCTGACCGGCAACCCGAAGGTTTCTGGTTCTGAATCAGTCATCACCCAGTAGAAAATATAACAAACAATAAAACTTTTCATTATAAATTCCCCACCAACACTCTATCACATAATTATTGAAAACCAAGGTGAAAGGAGTTCAACGTATTTTTGCGAGATATGTGAGTTTGAATAATAAAATACCTATATATTCATGCCCCTCACTACTTTCGAAGAAAAATGAAATGAAACGATCGGTCCCTGGTCGGAGTCTTAGTGGGAATAATACCGTTTACTAGATGGGAGGTACATCCAACTGACGAGTCCCGAAAAAGGACGAAACGCACGTCCTGGATTTCACTGTTAGTCACTATGGATTAATACCATAAAAAGATGAAATATGTTTAGAGCTACTAAGTAGAAGAGTCCACAAAAGATTAGTATAGAAGACGTTTTGATTTATGCCAAGTCTATCATTCTGGACTTAATTCCCTATCCACCTCGTCGATCGTGTTCGAACATTCTTGGAGTTTTATTTGATGGTTGTGACTATGAACGATAATGGAGATGTATTCAAAAGATATGCCATGCGATGAATTATTAAAAGCCATGGAAAGGAAAACAAGTCCAAGTATTTAAATGTAAGTGTACATACCGTAGAGTGCGATAGACCTAATACTCATCTTGAGGGAAGCTAAAAACAATTCTTTTTATGAACTCATATAACATAATGAAAAAGTATTCACTTAAGTATAATGTTGAAAGTTAATTCACTAAGACAGACATAATATAAAGCCATTATGTTACTCATAAAACATCTCATTTCTTCTTAAGGTAGTTTACTTCAGAGAATATAGTAGCTACGTAGGCAAAAAAAAATTAATCTAACAGTAAACATACAGTTCAACTGTAGAATATAATAGGACAATAACAGTAAATCGAGTTTCAACTTACCTTTCGATAAATAACGACTTGATGGGTCTTTTACGACGTGATTAATAAAATTAGACTGTTCATTGTAATACTTACTATCTGACCAATCAATTGTATGTACATCTTGTGATGCAGAAGATTGTCTACTTATTGTACCAGAAAAATGGCGAGGAACGTATGAATGTGTACTAAGTTTTCGTTTACAATAGGTTACTTGACGATCAATAGATGAAGTACTGACAGCTCGATTACTTTTAGTTGAATGTAATAAGTAGAGGAAAAAGAAAAAGACAACTACCATCAAACATAAAGCAAATTGGTTCATTTTATCAAAGAGATACAACTGAAAGTAACAGTTCATCCCGCTGCTCATAGGAGCAGTTAATTTCAGTGATAAAATATCATAACTGTAGACATTTAAGTGCTTTTATCCCAACTCAAAGTGTATATTAAGTTGCTGTAAGTCATATGTATGCCACATATCATATATTGATAACACTACTAGTCTTAGTGGTATCATTTTCTTCATTAACAGAAATCAAAGCAAGTCAACGACATTGGACAGCTAAATTGTGTCTAACAAACATCGTAAAACTATATCTAGACTCATTTAAGGAAGCACTTAGAGATTGCTGATAGTTTGCCTTTCACTAACCAAAGACAAATATAATGTACATCAAGCTAAGTTTATTTAACATTATATTTAAACCACACAATAAAAAACCCTGAAAAAAATCACCAACTCAAAAGTATTTACACACAAGAACAGAGAAATGGAATGCAACCTATTTCAGAAGGATTTCAGTTAGCATAAAGTCAGTATTCGTTCATCTCTACTCTTCATATATGCTCATAAGTAGAGTGAATATTGAATCAACCATAACGGATCCCACAATGAACGTGTCTCCTTTATTTTAAGCCTGTTATGCACTGTTGTATTTGAAAGTTGTATATTGATCTAATTATCTCTGTTTAAACTGAACAGAAAAATTATCTTTACGAGAATTTTAGATCAAGTTTTTAAAGTCCAATCAAATACTTTAATTTTATTATCTTTTGGTGAGTTGTAAAAGTAAGGAATCAGATTGATAAATTCAGATAATTCAAGATAATAAATCATCAAAATAGCTGAAATCCTCTTTGGGTTATTTCAATTCTGTTAATGAAATGATAATCTGATTCTTAAGTAGTAACAGTTGTTGTAAGACTAATGACCTATTTGCAAACTTCTGTCCTATTAGATTATGTGATCTTTTCTACATAGAATTGAATACAGTTCGCAATAAACTTTATTTTTTATTTAACAAGTTATAAACTTGTGATTCATTTGCTGCCTAGCCAAGTACTTCAATTAATCACTTCATGCTAATTCTATAATATTCTTCTTACTGTCTATATTAATCAATTTGTCTTACAAGAACTTTTGGCCAAATAACATTTGTATCAGGACAATGAAAGTTTATCAATTTGAATAATATTTGTCGAGGTTTTCCTCTCAGTATACCATTACTACTTCCCACTTCACTATATATTATTGAATAACCTCTGTATAATCGATTAGTTTGTCTTAAAGTACAGTTATAATCCAATCTGATATCCATATATGACCAATGATTGTAAGAAGTGAGGCTTCAAATCTCCTGTTGTCATATTAAGTCAATTCGATAGACTTCTGTTGGCATATAGGCTCCTATGCGGATGCCTCAATACTGCCTGATTACTCATTGTGTTGCTGTCTGCTTGGTGACTAGCAGTGGAATCCAGGACGCCTGTTTCTTCCTAAGTGGGACTTGTCAGCTGGATGTACCTTTTCTCTCAGTCAGTGATTTTGTTCCCTCTAAGACCTTAGGTCAATATCCATCGCCCCAGATTCCAAAGTGCCATCGACTAAGGCACTGGGACAAGAGAGCCACCTCGTGTGCAGTAGGGGAAAACTGAATGGGACACATGTCCTTGATTCCAACCAGACAACAACATAAGTCTCTTTAAAGTTTTACACTTGCATATTTCGCATGCTTAATATAAAGTTTCATATAGATGAAATCTAGTTCTTTTTCAATGCATAACTAATCAGAATTTTAGGGATATTTACTTCTCCTGAACACCTTCAACTGTTAACTAGATAGTTTAAAGAGAAGAAGGGTATAATAGTTGAATGATTAAAAACCAAACTGTTCGCTCGACCAGGGTAAACATTTTTGAAATTGTTCTGATTCTATTTTGAGAAAAATGTTATGTCCTACTTTTTAGGAAGTGGGGCAAAATCCAGCTTACATGAGCAGAGCGCCAAAGACATTAATTTGAGTAAAGGAATAGTTAGAGTCAAGAACTTCAACAAAAAAAAGAACAAGTTAAATTGATTTCGTAATGTGACGTCAGTCTACTAAATTTGGCAAAAGTTTAAAAATGCAAAATTTTTTTAAATACCATCATTCATTTTGCTATAAGTATTGAGAATCATACCTTTTAAGCTAATCAAAGCGATCAGAGGTTGGGGTTTTCAAGGGTGTTTACAACCTATTTTAGGACATTCGACAGTGGAGAATATTTCCAGCTCGGTGCAAAGTATTGACTGTATTGTCTTCTCTGAGCTGAGTTGTTTAATCGTGAAGCTTTCATCTTCTTCCTCGATGAAATCATCAACATAAACTTCAGTATTAACTTCTTACTCATGAAATTTATCGATGAGTTTCAGGTGGTAGTCGATTCAAGAGATTTTGAAGTGGTCAGACCATTGTTTCCTTTGTTTCTCCTCTTTAGTAATCAAATTCACTTCATCATCTTCCATTGCTTTCATCTGTGTTAATCTCTTGCCTCCAAAATAGTTACCTGGTTATTTGATACAATGTTGTCAGGTCTCTGTCTCTCCTACCAGCAGCCTGTTCTACTTCACTTGCCAGTGTGTCTTGGAGGTGTCTTTCGTCTTTACGCGTACTCTCCTTCACTTCTTTGTCCGGTGTAGTTTTATACATTGCACTGAGTTCCTCTTCTCGTTGTGCATCCTTGCACCACACTGGTTCATCTTCTGCTTCACCATCCTCCTCTCCTTCTCTATCACCTTCCATGTATCCGTCGAGATCCATTCCTTATCTTCTTTCTTCTTCCTTCCTAATACAGTTATGCAGGTTCCTTTCCACATCTCCTTCAAAGAGTACCAGTGCTCATCCACACGGGTTTCTTCAGCGATGTTCCTCGATATCTCCAAATTTATCTTGATGCCTGACTTGAAAATATTCCTTGTAGTTTCCTTCTTCACTTTCTGTTCTGCGTGTTCAGCTTGGACAGTGGTCAATCACCAACATATGTAAAGGCTTTCAACTTGATTTTCAAGGTAGGCTTTTTGCACTAGATAGTGGGTGGTGTGAACCTACACCTGCTCCCCTTCTTGATCTTCTGTCAAGTAGGCTGCATCTAAACTCTCTTCACATTGAGATGAAGTCGATGTGATTTTTAGTGTGTCCATCTGGTGAATGGTGAAATCCATGTCGCTTTCTGGATGATGTCCTTGTGCTTGAACACAGTGCCTGGCCTCCAATCACCAAATCGTTGAATGCACAGAATTCTGCAAACTATTCTCCATTCTCGTTCATCACCTCACAGAGTGCTTCTCGACCCATGGTTAGTTCTCTTACTGTGTTGTCCGCTCCCAGTCCGGCATTCATATCACCTCACCCATCAGCATTTTGATGTCGCCAACTGATGCCTTGTTCAGTACTGATTGCAGTTGTCTGTAGAATTCCTCCTTCTTCTCTTCATCTGCATTGTTTGTAGATGCACAGCGTAGGATTGTACGATTGTGACTTTCCTTCCTTCCTTTTGAGTTGAATCTTGCTGTCATGATCCTGGAGGAGACTGGTTCCCGTTGCATGAGAGCCTTCGATGCTCTTGAAGGGGACATCATGATAGCCACTCGATAACTCAGTGTGGTTGTGGTTGTCGTCTGGGTGACAATATCGGAGTAGATTATTGATTCCTCTCCAGTTGACAGTTTGGAGAGTCCACTTCCATTCCACATGGTTTTGCAGACTCCTAGCACTGCTATGTCATGCCTTCTCATCTCTTTTGCAATCTAGGCAGCCTTGCTAGGTTTAAGCATAGTGCGGACATTCCATGTCTTCATGTTTACTCTCGCTTTCATCGAGGGAGAGGAGACATATCGGCCAATTGGCTTCCTGAAGGCAGGCTTTCACCAGGTGGCGTCATTTCGCCTCTTCCATTCCAGAGAGGAATAAGCTTGTTTTTACTTTTTATACTTTGTTTGTGCTTTGAAGTTTCTTTAGCGATTGCATTGGTTTTACGGGGTAGGGTTGTTAGCCCTACGCTCAATCTTCTCTCTTTATCCAGGCTTAGGACTGGCTAGTAGCTAGTCAACTGGTTAACCAGGCAAGGTTGTTTTATTCGTACGCATTTAGCAAATTAATGTGATATATTCTGATGTAAAAAAGAGTGTAACCAACAGAAAACGATACTTTCTACCGCAAAACTTGACAGGATATATCATGTGTTTAAGCATCTATAGTACTGTCTAGAGATATGAGGAATATGATTACAATAAACTATACGAGAGTGGTGTTCATTCAGAGGAAATCCGAGTTGCTGAAGCAAGAACAACTTCTATTTACTGAAGTTACTGATAAAAGTTTTTAGACGTAAAAATGGTTTGAATGCAACTAACTGTGTTAACCACTGCAGCAAAAAAAACACTTGTGGAAAAAGTAGTCACAAAAATAAATTATAATAAAAAATTTAAGGGTAATGAAATATAAAGAAAAATATCAAGCTGCATTAACCTGTAGAGGAAAAATAGTTCCACCTTACAAGTGTAAGGTGTGTTGTTTCCTCTTTAACAACTGTTATTTGGACTGATCTTTCTCCTTTAAATTATTTTATCAATGTCAACACATTCCATATGGTATTTATTTTGCTGACCAACTGCGCTATAACATTTTCATTTCAGTCTGTCATTATCAAATGAATTTATAAAGATGGAAAAACTAAAAGAACTCGCGGTTTATTACAACCCATGCAATGTTTCAAATTCAAACGGACTGATTAGCATACATGATGAGATTGAAAAAAAACAGTGAATATTATAAATGAACAGCTAAACGTTTATAGGAATGATGGATAGTGGTTAGCAGTGGAATCTAAGACGAGTGTTTCATCTTAATGGAGACCCGTCGGCTGCATGTACCTGTGATGTCTTTTCTACCAAGACTTGGGCCCAGAACCGATCACTTCAAACGCCGGGGGTGTTATCCACTGGGCCACCGAGTAACGATATCGACTTCGTTTGCAACAGGTGTAGTTTTTATGTTGTTGCTTGCATTATTCCGTCGTTGACTGAAACGCACGCCCGGCTGACGAGTTACAAATAGGACGAAGAGGGCATTCTAGATTCCATTGCTAGCCACTATTTTTCATAACTATAAAATTGAAACCAAAGGTAATATCGAAGTATCCATGCAGGAGCCCATATGCTAATTAAAATCGTTCAATTCGGTTAAATAGACGACGGGATAATACAAGCAATAACACAAGGAATTAAAATGTTTAGACACACAGTATAATAGAGAAGCCATAATTCTGCACCACTATTTTGATCTTTCGTTTATAACATCAAAAGATAGCCAAAAACTACATATTACTGCTATTAAAATACCTGGGCCAATTGGCAACTTTCTGGATAGGTGTCAACTTTTTATTTGACTACCTAAAAGTGGCTGCTCGTATCTTATAGTCATTTCTACTGGTATTATTAAACAACGAAAAAGATGAAACGAAACTTACCAATTCCACTTAAAACCATTCCTTCCAGATAATATAGACGACGTATCATACATATTGTTGTTATTATTATCGAATGATGAAGAGGGATATGGAATGAGTGAAGTAAATGAAAGACGAAATAATTCCAAATGATCACGTGCACCACCACCACTAGTGAGTGGGTATTTTTGAGCAAGTAGCTTGGCTAAAGCATGCGATTTTCGGCGCATCGATGTTGTCTTATTGTCATCATCACAATATGGATTGATTTTTAAACTAGATGAATTGTATTCAGATGAAAACCTTGATAAATAAAGAGGAAATTGTTTCGTAAAAGAAATAGAGCAGATAACAAAAATTAAACAAGAAAACTGTATGAATATTCTCATAAAGAATGACCCCTAGGAAAGGATTGTTTTTCAAAAATTATTGTATCCTTTTAAAATGACAGTTGATTAGGTTATTTGCTTATCATAAATTATACATCAATTATAGATAATGGAGAAAGTCTGAATATTTAAAACAGGCTAACTAAACAAAAATAAACGGATATAGGTCAAACAAAAAGATTTTTTTTAAAAGATACACTTTTTCCTGCAAATACTAAATAACAATGTTACTTTTTAATTTTATAAGACAATGAGTCATTTCAGTAGCGAGTTACGAGTTCTGGAAACATTACCTCACAACATTCAAACGTAATATTCCACTTGTTAGGTTTTAATACACTGAACAAACTAGTAAGTAAACCCCTACTACTTAGCTTTGGTAAATATGCACCAAATTTTTGAAAATATTTTTTTATTTATCCTGAAGGTCAAAACATTGAGACTAGCTGATTAACATCATACATCACCCAACTGTTTGCAGTGGGTGTTAAGTAATTTTAGTCTGTGTACCTAACCATCTTTGAAAGTAAGGTAAAATCAGCTCCTACTGAAAACCAAAATTGTTTGGGCGACCTTCATAAACTAGACACCACAGGACAGTTTTCAAATTCTAGTTTGAAATTCTTAAGCGGAACAAAAATAAATAAAAATAGAGTCAAAATTAATAAATTAACAACTCGGTATGATGTAAGCTACATTCATGGACATAGTCGGAGTCCAGTTGTTCATTAAAAAAAAGCCAAAAATCAATAAAATCCATTGCATAATTCTCCAAAAGAACACATAACTGAATAACAATCCATTGGTCATTATTGAATGACTTTGAGACAGATTTCTTAAACTTGCAATGGATTGCGGGGTCTGTCGATCTTAAAATAGGAAGTAAGGAGTGTCGAGATACTACATTATGTTTACGCTAAGCACTGAACCACTGGTTTACGAGTTAGTAGATGAATGACAATGTAGTCAAGTCGACACCAGAAAGTATTATTTTCAAACACATAAGTAGTGAGAGGATTCGTACTGCTCAAAAATGGCTGTGCAAAGACAAAGCATATTGCCATTTTTAATTACTGAGCACAGTCTCAAATGGAAGCTTTAACTGAACCATTGAAGTCTCTTCGAAATTATTTATTCACTGACAGAGTGGACTTTTTGGAACACAGTTTATTATATGTGGAGTCTATCATTATTACATCAGGAGTTATACATATGTACATTTAGATAACTTAGAGGACTTAACCTCTTTAGGGTTTACGGAAACTAGTTTATGCAGGAAATCTCCCCTCTAGCTTCTTCAAAACAGAAGATCTGAAGTGCTGACCAAACCTTGACAGTAAACTAAAAGCAACCATAAACCTGTAAGTAGTTCATAATAAAGGAAGGTCTGATTTACATTGCTTGGTTACTGTAGTCTAGTCCTAGGTGCTAATCGAACTCTGTCGATCATTTTGCAATGTGATCACCAGGCTAGGCTACTCAGCATTGCGATACACTTAGATAGATATTAAATGGATGGAGGTGATCGGCAGAAAACCCTGGATCTAGGTGTTATGTTTTGGCACTCATCAGCAAGGCGTATCTGGAACATCCAACAAATTGATTTTCCACTTGAGATTCTAACCTGCATCACCCAGTGCTGTGGCAATAGACTTAATCACCACCCCCACTACCACATTACTATCCAATTAACATCTATCAGAGAGCAAAACGATATTGAGTCGCCTAGTATGTTGGCCAAGTTGCAAAATGATCCATAGAATCCGATCAGCACTCAGGACTAGACGACATGAAGTTGATTATTCTACAGTGACCAATCAGTGTACCTTATTTAAGTCAGTCGCGGCCCCAATAGGTCAGTGGTAACGTCACTAACTGCAGGACTGTGGTAAGTGGCTTTGAATTTCAGTTCCGTGGAAGTTGCAGACAAGTGTTGCTGATACATGACAACAAACAAAAACTCTAGGTCCAGGACTTTCTTCTGATTGCCTCCATCCAGCTAACAATTATTATTTATTATATTATTTGTCCTCTGGGTTTCTGGTTAAACATAGAGCTTCAGTGGAACGCCTCCATTGCACTCTGTTCTCTGCAGTCTTTTTAACCTGGCTCCATGAATGCCCAGAAGCATTCATTTCTTCCTCACACCATCTCCTCCATGTTACATTGGAAGCCCAACCAGTTTTTCATGCGGGTTCCACTCGAGGGCCTGGCACATGATGTCCCAAACGGTATTCTTAGTGTATGCCCGATCCATCTTCACTTTCTTCTGCATATTTGTTGGGTGATGGATTCTTGGTTGGTTCGCTGTCCCGTCAGAGTTCCTTGTTGCTTGTTCTTTCTGGTCATTTAATATTCAGTATCAAGCGAGCTTAGGTGGCAGCTGTTGATGTGTCTGCAGTTTGATGGAAATGCTTTTCGTAACGTTCCAAGTCTCTCAACCATCACACAGAAGCACTGACTTGCTTGACATTAGTATTTTATTCATCCGGATCTTGTTCTTTATACTGAGTGCGGTGCAGTGCAGTAGACCTCTGCACTGATTTCAGATTAGTGAAGGCCTGTCTTGCTGCCTTTCTGATCCTAGCTTTGACATCCTCATCTGTGTCACTACCTGTAGTTGAAACGTTGCTGCTTAGGTAGGTAGGTGAATCGACTTCCTTCAGATTTCTCCCATTGATGGTGATTGGTGCATGTTGTTGCTGTTGGTTGGTTAGACATCTTCATCACCTCTGTCTTTTCTGCGTTCACCTGAAATCCGTCTTCGCTGCCTCTTCTGTCAACTTGTTAGCTTTCGCCTGTAGATCTTCGAGTCTGTGCGACATTAGACATGAATCATCCGGGAAATCCAAATCTTCTAGGGTCTCTTCATCGATCAAATAGCGTATGCCCATCTTCTCACAGCTCCTCACAGTTTGTTGCACGGTCCAGTCTAGTCCAATCGACCACAATCAGGCAGATCATCGGTGAAAGTAGACGGCAACCTCGTCTTATTCCTGTCTTCACTTCAAAAGCCTCACTGAGCTTTCCATTGTGAATCATTTGGATCCAACTAACAATACATAGGGTTTATTATTAGCATAAAGATGTAGCTGGGATGGGATTAATATATTTTCCATTACTGAGGTTATTAGTTGAAATTCGTAATAACATAACTATACAGTACAGTCAGTAGCAGAATATATATATATATATATATATATATATATATATATATATATATGACAAAAATATATTTGTATTCCTAATTCACAACACGATTATACTCATATTGGAGACTTAGAACAAAACCTCTTCCCTTGTATTAGTACAGAGTCGGTTGGTGAATAAACCCATTAATATATGTTTTACAACGCATCCACTTAGTATTGACGCTTTAGGAGAAATCAGTTGAAAAACATTCCAAAACATGTAAAATTTGGCAAAAAATTGTTGTACATGTAAGAACTTTAAATAACCACACTATAAAGAGTAGAGTGAATATCCTCCTAATACTCATTATAGTTTGATATTATTGCTTTTTATCTAGATAAGATTTGTGTGTGTTTTGCATAGGGAATAAGATGTCGAAGTAAACCCTTTGAACGACGTGATAAAAAAGAGAAAGGAGAAACCGACACCCTAATCATTGAATCAAATTTGAAGAAAAATGTCTTCTGTAGCCAATAAGCAAATATAACTACATAATGTAAAATAACTGTTGTTGTATAAGACAGATGATTTTCATAGTGAACTAAGGGATAAACTGAAAACAAACTATAGCTTACAGTGTCTTTCATGATCTCACTTACAAAATATTCACTATTCTCTGGTGAAATCATCTTTATTAAAGGTTAAAAAACAATAACAAAATTTAATTATGTCTATTGCAATTCCCTAAAGAATTTAGTAGACGTGATAGTTGATAGTTTATCAGTAAAGGTATAGACAGAAAAAAAGTGGAAACTTTATTTTATGAACTACAGTGATCTCTACAAAAGAAAGGGTAATTGTAGATGACTTAGCCAAATTTAATGACCATAATATCAGGGTGACATGAGATAAAATAGAATAATCTTTTTCGTTTCGTTTCTCATTCATTTTAACCTTCAGAATTCAAATGAACTTTTAACCTGTTCAACCCGGCCTTTAAACACTAAGAAGTTGTAATGCTTATTTTACCAGTCAATATAAAGTTTCCAGGGCTTCTGTTACATTATGAAAGGAAAATTATCTTTTCCAAATTTTCCACGGCTGATCTCACATTGGTTTATCTTAGTGCTATATCAATCTTTTCATTTTTGCGAAATGTTAAATACCAAATAGGAATAAACTTAGAAATTCCCAAAACTCGCATGGTTAACTAGTTCACTACTTATTAGCCAGTCCTAAGCCCGGATAAAGAGAGAAGATTGAGCGTAGGGCTAACAACCCTACCCCGGAAAACCAATGCAATCGCTAAAGAAACTTCAAAGCACAAACAAAGTATAAAAAGTAAAAACAAGCTTATTCCTCTCTGGAATGGAAGAGGCGAAATGACGCCACCTGGTGAAAGCCTGCCTTCGGGAAGCCAATTGGCCGATATGTCTCCTCTCCCTCGATGAAAGCGAGAGTAAACATGAAGACATGGAATGTCCGCACTATGCTTGAACCCAGCAAGGCAGCCCAGATTGCGAAAGAGATGACAAGGCATGACATAGCAGTGCTAGGAGTCTGCAAAACCATGTGGAATGGAAGTGGACTCTCCAAACTGTCAACTGGAGAGGAATCAATAATCTACTCCGATATTGTCACCCAGACGACAACCACAACCACACTGAGTTATCGAGTGGCTATCATGATGTCCCCTTCAAGAGCATCGAAGGCTCTCATGCAACGGGAACCAATCTCCTCCAGGATCATGACAGCAAGATTCAACTCAAAAGGAAGGAAGGAAAGTCACAATCGTACAATCCTACGCTGTGCACCTACAAACAATGCAGATGAAGAGAAGAAGGAGGAATTCTACAGACAACTGCAATCAGTGCTGGACAAGACCTCAGTTGGCGACATCAAAATGCTGATGGGTGAGGTGATATGAATGCCGGACTGGGAGTGGACAACACAGTAAGAGAACTAACCATGGGTCGAGAAGCGCTCGGTGAGGTGATGAACGAGAATGGAGAATTGTTTGCAGAATTCTGTGCATTCAACGATTTGGTGATTGGAGGCCAGGCACTGTGTTCAAGCACAAGGACATCATCCACAAAGCGACATGGATTTCACCATTCACCAGATAGACACACTAAAAATCACATCGACTTCATCTCAATGTGAAGAGAGTTTAGATGCAGCCTACTTGACAGAAGATCAAGAAGGGGAGCAGGTGTAGGTTCACACCACCCACTATCTAGTGCAAAAAGCCTACCTTGAAAATCAAGTTGAAAGCCTTTACATATGTTGGTGATTGACCACTGTCCAAGCTGAACACGCAGAACAGAAAGTGAAGAAGGAAACTACAAGGAATATTTTCAAGTCAGGCATCAAGATAAATTTGGAGATATCGAGGAACATCGCTGAAGAAACCCGTGTGGATGAGCACTGGAACTCTTTGAAGGAGATGTGGAAAGGAACCTGCATAACCGTATTAGGAAGGAAGAAGAAAGAAGATAAGTAATGGATCTCGATGGACACAAGGAAGCTGATAGAGAAGGAGAGGAGGATGGTGAAGCAGAAGATGAACCAGTGTGGTGCAAGGATGCACAACGAGAAGAGGAACTCAGTGCAATGTATAAAACTACACCGGACAAAGAAGTGAAGGAGAGTACGCGCAAAGACGAAAGACACCTCCAAGACACACTGGCAAGTGAAGTAGAACAGGCTGCTGGTAGGAGAGACAGAGACCTGACAACATTGTATCAAATAACCAGGTAATTATTTTGGAGGCGAGAGATTAACACAGATGAAAGCAATGGAAGATGATGAAGTGAATTTGATTACTAAAGAGGAGAAACAAAGGAAACAATGGTCTGACCACTTCAAACAGCTCTTGAGTCGACCACCACCTACACTTCGTCCAGAAATAACACGAGCAGCCCAGCCAAAGAACTAGCAGTGAACAGAAGTCCTCCGAAGAATGTGAGAGTCTTGAACGCCATTAAGCTACCGAAATGCGGGAAAGCAGCAGGGTCATATAGAATTCCACCAGAAGCACTGAAAACAGACGCAGAGACTGCAGCGGACATGCTCACACCACTATGGCAGAACGTTTGGATGGAGGGGAAGGTAACTGCAGATTAAAAGAAGGGCTACCTTGTTAAACTCATGAAGAAGGGCGACCTAATGTTAGCAAGAACTGGAGCGGAATCGTACTGCCGTTGCTGTTCACTCCAAGCAAAATATTAAGCCGCATCATCTTGGAGAGACTAAAATAGCTCTCGATTCAAAATTACGAGCGGCACTGGCTGGATTCAGGATGTAGAAATCATGTGCGGGTCAAATCACAAGGTTAGGCTGCAAACCATCATAGAATAGAGCATAGAACGACAGTCAACCCTCTGCCTCAACTTCATCGACTTTGAAAAGACCTTTAACAGAGTCTACCGAGAAGTAATTTGACAACTGCTTCAACACTAAGGAACACCACAAACCTTGATCAATCTCATTCAACAACTATATGAAGACACCAGATGCGAAGTAATTCACAATGGGAAGCTCAGTGATGCCTTTGAAGTGACAACAGGAGTAAAACGAGGCTGTCTACTATCACCCATGATATTCCTGATTGTAGTGGACTGGATCATGCAACAAACAGTGAGGAGCGAGAAGAGGGGGATATAGAGAAGACAGAGGTGATGAAGATAACCAACCAACCAACAACAACAATAACAACAAGCTCCAATCACCATCAACGGGAGAAACCTAAAGGAAGTAGCCTCTTCCACCTACCTGTTTGGGCAGCATCTTTTCAACTACAGGTGGCACAGACGAGGACGACAAAGTGAGGATCGGAAAAACAAGACAGGCATTCATTAACCTGAAACCAGTGTAGAGATCTCCTGCCCTCAGCATAAAGAACAAGATCCAGATTTTCAACACCAACGTCAAGTCAGTGCTCCTATATGGTTCAGAGACTTCCGTATATAGAGGGATAGCATGGCAATGGGCTTCTCTGTTGGTTCGCCTCTAATTGACTGCTGTATGGCCTATCTTAAAAATGGTGTCCTCAATTCATTCATTAGTCAACTTTACTTTTACAGCAGGTACGTAGATGACATTTTTTTTATATGCAGTGAAGAATTTGATTTTAACAACCACTCAACATTTCCAGTGCTGCACGTTCATGAATAAAATTCACTCTGAAGTTTGGAACAAATTCAGCATCCTCATTTCTGGATGCTCTCGTATAATTTAGCAAGAGACCAATGTAGAGAAAACCAACATGAACTGCACAGCTTATCAACTTTCAAAGGTATGTCGCTCTCATTAGCGAATGGAAACGTCTACGTTCGGTAGGTTCAATGATTTGGAAGACATGTTCTGAAGATACACTAGATAGTGCGCTAAGATTTCTATGTAACATTCTAGTAGAAAACGACTATCCATCTACAGTGATCGACTCTTAAATGAACGAAAAGTCACGAATACAAAAGAGGCTAACCGTTTTAAAGAAAATTAAATGCATGAACCAGGAATTAAATGTAAAGTTGCAGCTGAAATCTTCGAAAATTGCCTTTTAGGACTTTTGAGGAAATTATTTCATGCAAGTACACTAAACTTTATTCGCTGGTAACTGTTTAAAACAAGGAATCTTTAGTTAACGTTATTACGAAGTAAAAGCAGTAAGTTAGATTTTTAATAGAAAAGAGAGTAACTAAAAGTGATTTAAGTCATAAAGGGTTACCTAAACTCACTACATCTAACAGAAATGACGAAAACCATTAACAAAATGCAAGTGAATTATAGAAATATCAAGGTGTCTTACTTGATATTGTCAGGGTTATCATGTAATGTATTGTGGTTTGATTCCATGATTTGCTTCTGAGTACGACCTGTATAGCTAAAATATAAAATGTATAGTAAATGAACACACGTTGTGTTTGATATATGGTGTGAAAATAATAGGTTATTAGGACCTTCAGGAAGTTATGTCAACAAAATGATTAAAAAAGAGGCTTCTCATAATGCAGCAGTATATTATCTTGATATTACAGATTCTTACGGATTCCTACCATTAACTGAACTGAAGAAACCGACCATTACTGGCTTATGAGCTTCTGTTCAAATGCCTATATGTTGCCAGTAGCTTTGATAAGAACCATAATATCAACTATATCCATCACAAAACGATTATTGTGACTCAGCACTTGAAAAAATAGGAGCTGGGTTAACTTCTCCATGGGAGTAAGACCACTCACTAGAAGTCAGACATTTCCAGTTGACGAATCCTAAAGATGTTTCCTGAATCTTACCACTAGCCACTATCTATCATTAGTATGCCATCTAATAACATTACAAAACGAAGAGTGTAAGATTTGTAAAAGGATGGTTTGGCGCCTAGCGACTAGTCCATATGTCACTGATTGGCTTTTCAGCCTTTAGATAGAGCACTCCAAGCATTAATTCGCTTAAATGAAATTCTATAGCTAAGTGACTATCAAAAAACATTTCACAACCTAGCATATAAGTGGACTTCAAAATAGAATACCAGCGAATCAACAGTAAGTAATTTTCAAACACTCAAAGGTTGTGTAGACGGACATTTCAGCGGAGTTATGCTAAAGCCGACGAAATAAATGCTAAGCAGGACTCAATGTAAAGCAAAAGACATGGGTCCCGACTAATTTTTTGTCGCATGTTGGGTGTGAAGTAAAGCCTTGCATCTGATGGTGGAGAATATCCACCAGTTAATAATCTCTAAAAGGTACAAACTAGGAAAAAACCATTGACTTACTGGAAATTAGAGCCTGTTAAGCTCAAATGAGCCATTCGCTTAACAGGTGTACTAAGATGAGAATTCTGAGAACTTTTTGTATTGCAACTAACTGAATTCTCTTCATCATTACTTTTAAGAGTTTTCCTTGAGCTAGACAGACCATTAGCTCCACAGCTGGCTGATCTACGCAGTTTTGAGAAAGGAAATGAGAATAGATTTGCTGAAGAATAGGTAAATACACCAGAGCCACGACTAGATGTTCCAGATTTCCTATTATCATACGGTGATACTGAACGAAAAAAGGTATGCTGTTCAATACATTTTTTCCAAAAGTTCTTGCAACTATTGCGAGTAGAAAATGAAAATTCGATGGTATCATTTCCATAACCCTGAAATGAAGATACAGACAAAAAACTGAATACAAACATTTAGACACCACTTACAATGGTTTTTTCTTCAGTTAGTAAATAAGATTAGTTTTCAAAAATACTTAAAATGTGTGCTGTATACACGCAACCTTGAACTATCGACAAGAATGAAAAAAGAACAGAAATTAAAAACCAGTGATGTTGAAAAGAAATTTCTTTGTTAGTGACTAATAAGCCAAGTGAGATGACATCACGAGTGTATTATTTTATACAGCTCATTTATATTAGTGAAAACAGAGATCATGTAATATAATGCAGCACGCATATCGTACTGTAATTGCAGAAATAGGTACCAATGTTAACAATTTCAGACTGCTTTTTGTCCAACAAGTGTAAGACTATGTGAGATAATCAACAGGAGTGTATGTGTCACTCCAATGTAATCAAGTTTTATTCATTCATGCGAATGTACATCCTAAGTTAACACACAGGTATTCGAACCTGTGATCCTGAAGAGACCTTTTCAATGATCTGATTTAGAAAAAAACGCGAAACAAAAATTAAGTGTCAATATCATTCAGACATTTACCTTAAACGTTTAAACAAGGTTTTAACAAAATGATAGCACATGTTTGTCATGTAAATTGATGTCAATCATTGAATGAACATTATGGAATAAGTATATCGCAGTAGACGTATTTACAGTCTTATTGAATCGTTAAATTCTATGGCTAATCCATATTCTCTTTATGAGAACATTTCGGAATCCACTCAGCAACCTTATTCACATCTGCGCAGTAGAAAATGAGTCACGCCTGTTATGTGAGGGCTAATGAGACTACCTAACTCCTCAAATCTCAGTGGGTGTAGTGGGTATCTAACCCGTGACTGATGGGTAGAAAGTTAACTCCCTAAACAGATGAGCTACGACTCTTGTTAGGATAGTAGAATAGTTCAAATAATAGAGCTAGACAGATTTACAACTACGTCTGAATGCTATTCGAAGCAAAAGTTTTGAAATGTTCTACGTTTAAAAAAAAACAAAGAAAGTAATTTCAATAAAACTATTTTGCTGATGCTTAAGTAAAATAAACAGATTAGTAATTTTTAAAGTGTACAGCCATTTAACATAAAACAAGAATTTAATAATTCTCTGTTAACAGGAATACAAGAAAAATGAACGAACAAATAAGTAGAAAGGCGGTTTCAGAAATATAGAGACGTACATCAATCAAAATTGTTATACTTAAAGACTGGCCAAGAAGAATCTGAGACTAAGCGATTCCAAACAGGGAGACAGATCAAAAGTGTTTACAACTACGTTGTTGTGACCAGTTTCTAGTCCTATCACTGAAAGTCTCTAATTATTGATTTCAAAACATCATAGAAACCACAGAGAGGCAGCTTGCACTTCCCTACATTTCTCAGACTAACAGTCATTAACTCCATGGACTAGTAATATAGTTTGATCTAAGTATCTTCAGCTATCCAACATAGTCTTAAATAAATTCGTCAGTTTTGCACCACTGCTTCAAAATGAAGCTGTATATAATAAAAGCGTAAAGTTCAGTGTTATGTTAGGCCATGGTTTGAAGCAATCCGTAATGGCGCTTATCTGATCATTTGTTGTCAGCATGAATAATCGTATTGAGAACATTTTTCCATTTCCTTTTTTCGACCCATACATTTCGAATTCAACTCCTTAATTGTTTAAACTACTTTGATGTACAATACTTGATTTTATTAGGTAATTTACTAGGTCCCAAATACAAAACAAACCAATCGTTGATTATTTCACCTTTTCTTTTGGCTATAATCATGACTAGAGTTTTTCAGAAAAAGTATCAGCTTAACGTAAATCACTTCCTCCTTACGAAATTAGCCTGAACAATGAGTATTTAGGCTCAAAATTTTATTACGGCAATAATTAGCCTCATTTAGCATTCACAATGATCAATATATTGTTGAATAATATTTTTTTTAAACATATCCCTCCTGTTACAAACGAAAAATCAACAAAGGATAGGAAGAAAATAGGATACAATGGTTTCATAAATTTTGGCATAACTCTTTAAATATTGGATAAAGCATGGCAATATGAACATAGGGTTCGAAAAATAACTTTAAGATGTGTAGGCCAGAGGGAATATAGAATCTTATGAGGGTAAAAGTGATATAATAACAGATTTAAGATTCGATTTTACGGCTTTACATTGAAAAAGATTCTGTAAATGAAAGCATTCCCCCTTCATTTGTCTGACAACGGTTGGAAAAGGATTTGACAACCATAATTCCTTAGTTGGTGTAGGGCTTAAAAGGTCAAAATCTGATCTGATAATCACTTGATGGGGCTGAAAAATATAATACTGGTGGCGTAATGACTTCATCTGATTGGTCGGTCGAGTACTGCTTATTTTTAAAATCCTCATCTACTTCAGAAGATTGTTTTATAGGTGTATGTAAGCTTTGCTTTTAGCAAAACTGGAAATTTTCTCACAGAAACACGAATAAACGATATCCAATCTCATCAAAACCATTACCTAAACATTCATATTTCCTCCTAACATGCCTTTTTTTCATAAAATCAGTGCAGGTGACGTCATCATGCTTGACGATGAAACATTTAACATTAAGTATAAATGTTCAGAGAATATCTGATGAAAATATATTTCCTGATTGATTTCGTTAATTGCTCAAGTAAGATCATGTAATTTTACCTTCTATGCGTTTCTGCTATACCGAAATATTAATGTCAACATTCGATAAGTATTTGATAGATACAACCATTTGCTGGTATGCTTTAATGAGACAGCCAGATAAGCTTCTTTTATATACAACAACGGTCATGTTTTATGACAAAATATACAATTGATTCATTCCCCAATACAAAATCTTTTCATAGATTTCCTTTTCACTATTAAAAAGTGAAACTTCATTCTTGGAAAACATTTTTCAAACTTTAATGTACGCTATCGATATTTTACTTTCTGCGTATACACAGGTACAATATGTTTTTCATGAAGTTATCTTAAGCACAAAATTTCATATCAGCGGCAGAATTTGTTTCAGTTTTTAAAATATTTTTAATTTTCAAGGTTGTATTCATTGAGAAACCCTGACCAGTGTGATCAATCAGTCTGAAGCGAAGCAGATGCTAACTGAAAACCTTGGTAGATAGTTTCACTGTATCGCGAGCTGATAGAAGTAGAAAACTGTGAACTATTTTACTTTGACTCAGTGGCTAAATGGATAACGGATTCTCCATGAAAGTTGAAGGTCCTGAGATCGATACCTAGCCGGGTCATGGGTGCATACTGCTGAAAAGTACCATACTAGGACATCACAGCTGTCCGATGTTCTTAGGTATTCAAAGGTTTTCCAACTGATGCCAGTCCGTGATTAATACAGTCTTGAAAAGGAAATCGTCGCAAACCTCAAATTAAGTATTTTTTAATGATTTTTACTGATCGATTCCATTTCCCCTGATATAATTTACGTTTACTTCTATGAACATATTTATAGGATACTTTTATATGAATTGTTTGGATTACTCCCTCAAAACACCCCTAAATGTATCATGAATATTTACTTCAAAGTAAATTATTTGTAATTTTTTCCTCCATTTTAACCGCTTTTTTCCTCCATATCATTGTTCATAACAATATCATTTTATGCATCAAACAGTTTGTACGCTTTAAACGCTTTGGAATTTGAAATATATATAATTAGGCTCAAGCTTCAGCGATAAAAAAACAACGCTCACTGAAAAGCTAGTAAATCTGGTTGACGAGTGAAATATAGGGTCGAACATGAATCCTATATTTCTATACTACTTACTAACTTTTGAGTAACACCCATTAAGTGTTAAAGAAACCGATGTAGTGATGGTAAATGATTAGAAGAAAGATATACCGAACAAATTAACAGATTTAAGCTAGAAAAGAATTGCAGTATAAGTGGTCATAGAAAATCAATTACAGCTGTTTCCTCTTGGATTTCAATTAGTAAGGTCTATGAAACTGTCGAAAAATTCACAGAAGAACAAACTTCTAAACAGTGTTAACAACTAATTATTGTAATAGCAATCAATAACTAGTGCATGCAAATAGTAAGGAAGGTAGTATATACTCACATATGCTTCCATATGAAGTTTAATTAGTAATTTACGACGTTTAAAACTGAGTTTACGAATCATTGACCAGTTGAAGGTGTTCAAGCGAGAGAAATTCTCAAATATCATAATTCCAACATGATTTACTCCCATATTAACTGGCTTGTCTTCTATAGTCTAAAATAATTTAAGCACATGGTTACGTGTGTACAAAAGGTGTAAACTACGTATTTATAAAACAACTAAACACACTGAAAACTGGAAATGACAAAAATCAATATCCACTAAATCTCTTTGTGCGACAAACAGTAGTAAGTGTAGTGATCTATGACTGCATTCACCAACATTAAACCCAACGGAACTACATTACCTCATCTAAGGTAAAAAAGATACAATCTAGGAGCTGTGGCCGACCTGAATTTCAATCAACGGGTCATCAGTTAGGACTTAGTTCAACCTTCCAACGTCTTAGCAGCCAGGTAGTATATTTAGCCCTCACACATCAGTTGCGATGCACAGCCTAGTGCATATAGTTGCTGGGTGCGTCCCTATTTTTCTTCTGTTTCAATACAATCAAGCCAAGACAGTGATAAAAAGAAACAACTTTTCCAACGTAAATGTAATTTAAAAATGATAATCCCTCGTCCCGTCTAACAGAAGGCTTAATTGTAATCAACAGTAATCAGTTAAAGAACACATTAGAGAATAATGAACCATATAAAGGTGCCCAAGAGCTCAAAAGCCCAACCAATTGATGATTTCTAATAAATATTTAGCAGAATGCTTCTTAATAAGCTGAGATTTTTTAGCCATCAATCGCACGGCTGAAACTCAAAAAATTCATGGATTTACAAATTTCAAAATGGTTGCCTACAAAGTCATCTAATACAGCTGTTTATACCTTACAGTCAAGATTTATCGAATGCAATCAGACGACTGAATAAAAAAAACCAGGGTTTGAAAACAGACTATCCTGGAAAAAACCGAACAGAATCTGTTATTGAAAGATTAATCTAACTTGTGTGTCTACAATATTGTTAAGTTTTTTACAATAAAACGAATCTTAGAAAACTTCCTAAAACAAACTTGGGTAGATATTTAAAACTCATAGCACTTAAGCTGCATGAATTGAACAAATAGTATGTTTTGAATACTGTTCATTCTAAATATCAAAGGGTGTAACAAAGTACAAAAACAAGATCCGTAAAAGTAATTATAAAAGCATACCCCACCTATTACACATTTACCCTATAAATTCACATAAAATACACTGTAGCTTTACTTTTGCAGCGTGTAACCGAATCCCATATAATTCAACTTTTCGAGCAGCATCCAAAAGACGATAATCAGCTTCTGATTTTGTAATTCCTCTATATTAAAAAACACAGTGGAGAAATCCAAGTAATAAATAAAACAACTGCTTTGAAAATGATTTTACCATTAAACTATAATTTCTCACCATTTGATTATGAAAAAATGAAGTCCTGAGAAAAAAATTTGTTTGAAATTACCTTACTTGAGAAAATAAGTGTGAAAAGCAGCAATGGAAATACGAGAAATATAAAATTATTGGTAGAAACATATATTTTGCAAAGATTAACAACAAGATACTGAGATAAGGGTACAGTTTTCTTATAACTGACGTATTTGGAACACAGTACGTTAATTATGCAAACTTATAGCAATCAGTTCACCGTAACCAAACCAATTGTTCTGATAGGGGACTTAATAGTGGAGCCAAAATAGTCAAAAAACGACAGTTGTGAGCTACCCACAGAATGCAAGTTTATATTCCATATATGCTGAATACGTGAAAAAGATTTTGGGTTATTTTCACAAGTTTAGATGATTTTATACATATATATGTACAGCCTTAAATTACAATTAAGAATGAATAAATTGACCGAAAATTTTATTGTGCAACGTAATGATAACTTACATTAGGGTTTGATGAAGCTCCATCAGACGCATCAAATAAGAATCAGGTGCAGTTCTAAACATATGGTGCTTTTTCAAATAGGCGTAAGATCTGCATTCTGTCTCCTGAAAATCACCCAATTGAGCTAATTTATGCAAAGTAAAAAAAAATATGATAACATTTGCATTTTCATACTGAATCGAGTAGTTTATGAGAGGATTTAATGACGGGACTGATCTACACCACAATGATATCACCTACAGAACCACTGAAAAGTGTGGAGTAAAGGATAGTTACTTTATTGCAGCCTGGGACTCTCTGGCACTACAACTATAACTTAATATGGAACAAAACATATGACTTTCAGAGCTCCCGGCAAGAGTTGTACTAAAAAGATAATGAGTGAGAAGTAATTATTTAACACATTTGATCTCAAGCTTTTTTGCCTAATTCAGTGATCCAGATCTCTCCTGATTGAATGCTAACAACACAACAAGAAGTCCGAAACATGATATTATCTAGTAAACGTACCATTCTCAAGTCATAGGTCAACGATAGATAATATTCAACATCTCATTCAAAAGTATTCAAAACTAATCTTATCCATGATTTGTCAGTGAATTCCTTACACTGATCATTATAAACTTGGAAAATTAGATCTCATGAATGTTTACATTTATTGGTTAACCATATTTTCAATCTGAAAGGTATTCTCACTTCCTCCAGAATCTATGTTGTAATCTGTCAGTGTACTGATCGAATATTCGCGCTCAGTTATAAATGGGATGAATAGCACCACATATTTTCACATCATATAGATAGGTTGGTCAATAAATGGCAGGTTACTACATCGACAGGTTCAAATGAAATTGTCCAACTTGCGAAAAAATTGTGGTTCTAACCAAAATAAAGCAATAACATACAGTCTATAACTGGAGCTTTATTTGATACTTGAGTATGTTGATGATCATGCTTTACCTGTCATGCCAAACGATGTAGGTTAGAATTTGAAGTGGTTTCTGAACTTCGTTGCAGACACATCTTGTAGTGAGATCGAACAAGGATGAAACCTAAGTCAAGGACTTTCTGTTCAGTGTTTCTTAAAATCGAATGAGAAATGTCGTGTAGATATTGTGACATTTAGTCCAGTGGTCAAATTGTGTTGTTCTATTGATGAATTTTCACCTGCAGTTACGATCAGAATATAATTCGCTCATTATCCTGTGTTACATTTATGAAAGCGTGCTATCTGAATGAAAACATTTCACTTAATAATCTGGAGAACAATACCGTTATACAATGTACTAATAATTCTTAGTCTTATCAATTATTATTAAATTTCGTTCAAACAATTTCAGTTGAGAAAATGTGAAAAACAAGCATATTCATATGCAGTAGAAAGAATATGAACGCTGTTTTTATAGCACAATCTACAATTGTTGACTTACATTGTGCAATGAATGCTGCCAAAAGAAGACTAGTGTTACGGTTGCTGTGCAATAGACCCTGAAAGAAGTCATTTCTGATCTGCAGTGCATATAATACCTAGAAAATAATCCAAAGCATAGTTTGAAAGAAAAATGCAAGCTCTATGAACAAAGCATAACATGCATTTATCAAGTTCGCCAAAATAACTTACCGTGTTAAATCATCTTCCAGAAGATTTGGGTATGGTGTGAAAAATTTAACAGCAAATAAGAACTCCAGTGGTCTTGTACTTGAATTCCTTAAGGCTTTTGTTAGTGGTTTATTATTATCAATCCAACACTAAAAATAAACGTGGAGAAAGAAGAACAATTAAACAGTTCACTGACAATATGGTTTATTATTCAATCATAATCTAAAATGTTTTGCATGATATCTTTTTATTGACTGAGAAACTAACTGTCACCCAGCATCTTAAAAACTATTCATTCATTAAGAACATAAAAGCATGCACCTTATGATTAGGTGACAAACCTTTAATACTGTTGTTTGCGTGTGCATTATCGATACACCAACTAATAGATGAACAAAATGGAAAATTTAGGACGACAGTGCATCACTTCACAACTGCCATGTTTCAAAAAAAATGGTAACCAGAACTCAACAAAAAGCATGTAACTGACAAAATAAAGAAACGGTACCATGGAACCGAGACAATGTTGACCACCAAAACTTTAAAGGCCTGGAACTAGTGCAAGATAAATACTGAATGCATCTGTGGCATGACCGTCAGTTTTAAGTTATGTTACTTGAGATATACAGTCACTGACTTTCGTTCTCAAGAAAACTCTAGTCATCCATCAGACAAAAAGGTGAAATTAATCACTGGTACTCACCAAATTAGCGGCTAAGTTGGATGCACAACAAATGCATGTAGTACACAGTCACTAATACTAACAAGCAAAAGCTTGGAAATTTATTTTATCATGGTTTTATTTTTAAATCTGCTTCATATGCATATAAAAACAGCCTCCAACACCATGTAAGCCCTCAAAATATTATGCGACCCACCAGACAATTAATTATCCATTAAGACATATGCCCTTACTGACTGTTGCTTGCTATATACGGGAACATTTATTTCTGTTGAGCCTGTAGTGCTCATTTACTTTGATTTCAAACTTAACCCTATCTGATTTTACTCTTCTTAATTGTAGTAATGGGTTAGTAATTCCAAAAAAAATGGAGACCAACGATTCACGGAAAAATATATATATAACCACCAAGGGATTGAAAACTGTTGCATCTCATTGGTGAAATGAATTTAAAACAGCTAAAATACAATTGACTGAACACTTGACTGAAAATGTAGCAGCTTGACTATTAAATCAAACGTTGCAAACTAATATACTCCACGCTTTTATCAACAGTGTCACAGAATCTCACTGCGAATCTGATACTGATATCACTTTTACATTTTCACCAGGCAAATGAGCGTTTGCTTCTTTCGTTAGTCAGAAATAGAAATGTACCATTTATTTTCCAAAATGACAATGAAGAATCTGACAACAGAATGGTTGTTAATTAATATTGGCTGCCAGATGAAGTACCTGAATAAACCTGTTTTCTCACTTACTTTATTGCCCTCGAAATCACAGTACAGTAATCCAAAGTACTCGTATTCAAAAACACCGATCTTTTTTGTGACCAAGGCAAATAGTTCCTGACCAAGACATCTTTCCTAAGTAAGAAAAGACAAGTATGGTAATGAAAAACGATGTTTAGCCTAACCAACACCATTTCATAAATAATAATGCTTCAGAATAAGAGAAACATATTTTACAACAAGGTGTTTCCATCTTAATAAGTCTCTGACTAAAAATTGAGGTCTAAAAGCTGTCCAAAATGTCTCGGGAAAGCAGTGCAAATTTGTATTTAAAATCCACATGTACCACTATCAATTCTTGTAGAGGATGCTAAAAAATAGATTTCGATGGAAAATTCCATCAAAGTTCAGCCAAAGTTACACCATACTACCGTTGAAACATTTACTGTGGTCTCTGAATAAATAGTCAGATGGTTGTGCAACTACTTACATGTTGACCAGACAGTCAAAGAATGAAGTATACGTTGATGTATACATTAAATCAACTAGTTATAACTCCAATTAGGTATTGAAAGAAAAAGGCGCAAGAGAAGAAAATAGTCATAGTTAGTGGCAACTTTCTCCACTAACATTTACAACGTCAACTACGTCATAGGAACGTTTCACACAAGAAATGTTAAAACCAAACAAACTATAATATATGTGTATACACGCATACAATATAAAGTACAGTGGATAAAACAAGACGTATTGACTACTAAGGTTTTTAAACGTCAACAGAGCCATACAGTGTGTAGCAAACGAGGTGCTAAAATTAATTTTGGTTTAAAACAATTACCAAAATTGGAACCAACGCAAGCAATTTATTTTATTAGACTGAAAACGTCGACGGGACTTACAACAGAGATCAATCTTGTAGCACTGATGAACTCTAAAAGAATATAAAAACTTGGCTTAATATTTGAAAGTGAACCTCTGTTTGTACATCAATCAGAAAAAGAAGCAAAATAACAGTCTTCTATATCTGATAATGATGGATATCCTCAAGGTATCAGTGTTAGTTAGTGATGAAATGTCAACAGTAACGATAGTTATACTGACAATTTAATTTTAGATTGCTGTTGAATCAGGAGAAATTACAATCAAATTAAAGCCCTTGACAGTCAAACCACTGACTGATCTGATAGATTCATCTGGTTTTTAAAATTATGACTTATTGAAGCATAATTCGATTAAACATTAGAAATGTCAGCATTATAAAGAAAACACATATACCACTGTATATCCCAAGTTCACCTCGCCTGGTTAACTAGTTCACTAGTTACTAGCCGGTCCTAAGCCCGGGGAAAGAGGGAAGGTTGGGCATACAGATAGCAACCCTACCCCGTAAAATAAATCTAACCGCTAAAGAAACTTCAAAGCACAAACGATACATAAAAAATAATAACGAAATTATTCCTCACTGGAATCGGAGAGGCGAAATGACGCCACCTGGTGAAAGCCTGCCTTCAGGAAGCCAATTGGCCGATGTGTCTTCTCTTCTCTCGATGAAAGCGAAAGTAAACATGAAGACATGGAATGTCCGCACTATGCTTGAACCCAGCAAGGCAGCCCAGATTGCAAAAGAGATGAAGAGGTATCATACTGAAGTGCTTGGAATTTGCGAAAGTGGATGGAATGGGAGTGGACTCTCCAAACTGTCAACTGGAGAGGAATCAATAATCTACTCCGATATTGTCACCCAGACGACAACGACGAGCACACTGAGTTATCGAGTGGCTATCATGATGTCCCCTTCAAGAGCATCGAAGGCTCTCATGCAACGGGAACCAATCTCCTCCAGGATCATGACAGCAAGATTCAACTCAAAAGGAAGGAAGGAAAGTCACAATCGTACAATCCTACGCTGTGCACCTACAAACAATGCAGATGAAGAGAAGAAGGAGGAATTCTACAGACAACTGCAATCAGTGCTGGACAAGACCTCAGTTGGCGACATCAAAATGCTGATGGGTGAGGTGATATGAATGCCGGACTGGGAGTGGACAACACAGTAAGAGAACTAACCATGGGTCGAGAAGCGCTCGGTGAGGTGATGAACGAGAATGGAGAATTGTTTGCAGAATTCTGTGCATTCAACGATTTGGTGATTGGAGGCCAGGCACTGTGTTCAAGCACAAGGACATCATCCACAAAGCGACATGGATTTCACCATTCACCAGATAGACACACTAAAAATCACATCGACTTCATCTCAATGTGAAGAGAGTTTAGATGCAGCCTACTTGACAGAAGATCAAGAAGGGGAGCAGGTGTAGGTTCACACCACCCACTATCTAGTGCAAATAGCCTACCTTGAAAATCAAGTTAAAAGCCTTCAAGGAAGCTGGTGATGATAGACCACAATTCAAGTACAACACCCAGAAACTGAAGGACAAAACTACAAAGGACATCTTCATGTCAGTCAGCCATCAAGATAAAATGGGAGATATCGAGGAACATCGCTGAAGAAACCCGTGTGGATGAGCACTGGAACTCTTTGAAGGAGATGTGGAAAGAAATCTGCATAACTGTATTAGGAAGGAAGAAGAAAGAAGATAAGGAATGGATCTCGATGGACACAAGGAAGCTGATAGAGAAGGAGAGGAGGATGGTGAAGCAGAAGATAAACCAGTGCAAGGATGCTCAACGACGAGAGGAACCGAGCACAATGTATAAAACACTGGACAAAGAAGTGAAGAAGAGTGCACACAAAGACAAAAGACACTTCTACGAAACACTGACAAGTGAAGCAGAACAGGCTGCCGGCTGGTAGGAGAGACCTGACAACATTGTATCAAATAACCAAGTTGCTATCAGGGAAGAGACCAACGCAGACGAAACCAATAAAAGATGATGACGGAAATTTAATTACGAAAGAAGAGAAACAAAGGAAACAATGGTCTGACCACTTCAAACAGCTCTTGAATCGACCACCACCTGCACTTCGTCCAGAAATACCACCTACAGCACAAGCCGCTGAACTACAAGTGAACATAAATCCCCCAACAAAAGTCGAAGTCCTGAACGCCATAAAGCTACTGAAATGCGGGAAAACAGCAGCACCAGATGGAATCCAGCCAGAAGCACTAAGAACGGACGCAGAGACAACAGCGGACATCCCCACACCACTATTGCAGAAGGTGTGGAAGGAAGGGAAGGTACCTGGCGGTTGGAAGAAGGGTTACCTTGTCAAACTGCCGAAGAAGGGAGACCTCAGTGTTTGAAAGAACTGGCGCGGAATCACTCTCCTGTCCACCCCAAGCAAAATATTAAGCCGCATCATCCTGGAGAGACTAAAGGATGCGCTAGATTCAAAAATATGACCGGAACAGGCTGGCTGGATTCGGGAAGTACAAATCATGTGCGGGTCAAATTGCAACGTTACATATCATCATGTAACAGAGCATAGAATGGCAATCAACCCTCCATCTCACCTCAACTTCATCGACTTTGAAGAGGCCTTTGACAGCGTCGACCGAGAGGTAATTTGGAAACTGCTTCAGTACTACAAAGTACCGCAAACCTTTATCAATCTCATTCAACAACTATATGAAGATGCCACATGCAAAGTAATTCACAATGGGAAGCTCAGTGATGCTTTTGAAGTGTAGACAGGAGTGAAACAAGGTTGTCTACTATCCCCCATGATATTCCTTATTGTGGTGGACTGGATCATGCAGCAAACAGTGGGGAGTGAGAAGAGGGGGATACGCTGGACTGCGGAAAAGAACCTAGATCTGGATTTCACCGATGACTTGTGCCTGATGTCACACAAACTTGAAAATCTACAGGCGAAAACTAACAAGTTGACAGAGGAGGCAGCGAGGACGGGACTTTAGGTGAATATAGAGAAGACAGAGGTGATGAAGATACCGCACCAACAACTCCAACAACAACAACAAACTCCAATCACCGTCAACAGGAGGAACTTAAAGGAAGTAAACTCCTTCACCTATCTAGGAAGCACTATTTCAATTACAGGCGGCACAGACGAGGATGTCAAAGTCAGAATCGGAAAAGCAAGAGAGGCGTTCATTAGCCTGAAACCAGTGTGGAGATCTTCTGCACTCAGCATGTGGAACAACATGCGGATTTTCAACATCACCGTCAAGTAAGTCAGTGCTTCTGTATGGTTCAGAGACTTGGCGGGTCACGAAAAGCATTTGTAACAAACTACAGACATTCATCAACAACTGCCTACGCTGACTCGTTACTGAAGATCAGATGGATTGCCAGAAAGAATAAGCAACAAGGAGCTCTGGGAACGAATCAACCAAGAACCTATCGCCCAACAAATATGCAGAAGAAAGTGGAGATGGATTGAATTGGGGATACACTGAGAAGGCCGACTGGGGACATCACGCGTCAGGCCAGGCCCTCGAGTGGAATCCCCATGGGAAGCGACGAGTTGGGTGTCCGAGGGTGACATGGAGGAAATTGTGCGAGGAGGAAATGACAGCTTCTGGGCTGTTGTGGAGCCAGGTTCAAAATATTTCAGAGGACAGAGTGGGATGGAGACGTGCTACTGAAGCCCTATGTTCCATTAGGAACCCAAGGGACTAATAATAATAATAACAATAATAATGATAATCATTATTATTATTATATCCGAAGTTGTTGCCTAATTAAAAATACCTCTTTAAATAACAAATAGTACTACATTGCCGAAGAATTCAACCTTATCCGCAATAAATATTTAGAAGAGAGTTTAAGTAGAATTTTGACATCACTTAAATAAATTTTAATTTTATTCCTTATGCATAAGGGTTCAAGAAATGAAAAATAAAACTATCAACTTATAGCTAATTAACCGATAGTTACTGGTTCAAAATTTACGACACTGACTGTGTGAAGAGCTCATTAGTCTCTGGATTAGAAAATTACCAGTATGTAAGACGAATGCGATTTCAATTATGGAATTTCAATGAAATATCAATAATGTGTAATGCTAGGAGTGAATACAAACTCGTAGCGAATCTTTAACAGCTATATAATAGACTGGGAGTTTTTACTTTTTATGAGATTACAAGCAACAGGTGAAAATTGGTCTACTCATTAGTATACCAGAAAGAGCTATATGGTTGTTTATTACCATAGGTGTGGTAGTAAAATTTTCCATATCTCTGGCATAGGTGTTGCGTCACTTCTTTTACATATGTTGCTTGTGGAATCTATGTACAAAGATTTAGTAATCAATCTCTCTCTCTCTACCTAATTATATTGAACTTAAGGATAATGGGTTTTTATCACGCCATTGTGTGGTTGTGAGGTAGTGGATATACTGCAATAGCCGAGTTTTTTCTAGGTTTTTGATCTTACTGGAATCTATCATTCTATATTTAGCTAAATTCCTATGTTTGGCTATTCTAACTGACTTTCACCGGTTAGTTTGACCTATATACTTGACCTCACAGCTATTACATGAAATTTGATGGATTGAATTATTTTGCTGAATTGGTTCTATCGGATCCCAAAGGCAGCCGATAAAGCTTATTTCTGAGTGAGTTTGTAGGTTTAAATGCCACCCTGATTCCCGCTTTGTTGAGGATCCTACGTAAAGTTTCTCATGTACCTTCCTTATAGGGTACCACAATGACGGCTGTAAATTCCTTTCTACTCATATTGTCATTATTATTCGTAATCGTGTTACTGTTATTGTGTCGTTTCTTGTGTGTGTGTACGAATTTCTTAATAAACTGCAGAGGATAATTGCTAACTATCAGTGCTTCTTTTACGTGCTTCAGTATCTTGTTTAGGTCCTTGCACTGATTAGTCAGTTTTTAGCTCTGTCATTTAGATATTTGACTAAACCTACCTTAACTGACATTGGATGAGATGACTTGAAGTCTAGATACCTGTTGGAATGTGTCGGTTATCTGCAAACGGTAGTATCCAAACCATCGTCTGTCCCTCGTTTTATCCTGCAGTCCAACTTAGGTAATTCTTCCTGTTCATATTCTACCTCGTAAGTGGATTGGATTGCACCTACTACTGAGTTTATGTATGAGGAAATTGTCGATATGTTCTGATTTCAACACAGTTAATGTTTCATCCATATATCACCACCAAATTTTTTGTGCAGGACTAAACATTTGTAAAATCATGTTTTCCCAACTATCCATGAATACATCTGCCACGATTGGGGGTATTGGTGATCCAATTGCTACTCCTTTTGTGTGTATATTTCGTCCTGAACCTTGAAGACTGTGGAGGTCAGGCACAGCTGTATGCCCAATATGATCTCATCAATCGATATCTTAATTCTCTGATTAAGTTTTGAGTCAACATTTAGCTGACTTCTGACTGCCTCCAAAGCCATATTGATTGGTATTTTAGCATAAAGACTTACTAAATCGAAGCTAATAATTTTTTCATCTTCTTCTGCGTGTAGGTCATTAAGCCTTAGTTTTAACTAGTAAGAGCTTACTAGTCTGGAATTTTAACGGTTCCTAATAAGACACAATATCGATGCCAAGTATTTTACTGGTTTATAAGTTGGGGCATTTCTGAAGTCAACAATGGGTCTAATGGGATAACTTGGTTGATGAACCTTAATAGTACCATAAATTCAGCTCAGATTATTAGTTTTAGGCATTAAATTAAACCACTGTTACATGATTATTTGTTTCGAATAAGTTTGATAATAGTTTATGAAAACAGATAATTCTATCCTTTGAGAATAGTCTTTATCAGTTGAGCACAGATCACATGATATAAGTGTATTTGTCCGATCTTCCGCTAAAAGTTTCAAAGTTTTGAATACAGAACACAATGAAAACTTAGGAAATGTGCATGAATAAAAGATGGTTGGCAAAGAGAGATCAAGTAAGTTTAAGGAATCTGATATAAGAGTTGCTGTAAACCAATCAACACGAAAATGGGAAAATAAAGCATTAGAATTCTTCAAAATCGATATTAAAACAGCACTAATGAGTGACAGGGAAATGAATTATTAGCAGAAACATTAAGCGGAACAAAATGGTGCATCCATGAATTGCATTGTCACTGTGCTAGTTTAATCAACTTCAAAACTACATAAAAGCATTTGGTCTGACACACAAGTACACATTTAAATATTCATCCTGGGCATGTAAGTACTAACTACTAAGAATCTATCAGGCAGGAATAAAGTCCTTCTTGAAAACTTGATTGAGTGGATTTAGAAACAAAGAACACTAACGATGACTTTGCGTTTGCAGGAATGTCCTTCATAAGTTAGATCTGATGGCTCCAAGAACCATGAAAGAGATAAAGTGAAATATTTGAAGGTTATCGGAAACCATTAGAACTCCGCTATTTTCTTTCAATTTTCACCTCAGTCTATGGAATCTAGGTAAGAGATAAAATACCCTTTCGTCACGAAACCACGTGTTCGCAAGACGCTTTACTGTTCATCATAAGCCTTTCTGTTTGAGTTAACTTTGAATATCGCAAGGTGAGGTGTAACTGGCTATGTGGATGGAAACTCTAATACCATTATTTGTTTTTCTAAGAACACAAAATAAACAGATCATGTCTATAGAATCTAAATTTTCGGCATTTTCTGAAAAATTGGTTATGCACAACTAACTCGCAGCAAAGTTACGGAATCTGTACTTTAATCTTCATACAACCTAATCAACAGAAAATTATTTTCCTTTCATCATCGTCATTCTACAGAGGAAACTGAGTAACATGAACCAACTGAACACTTGCTAGTATTCCTAGGAATGATCCATTTTTACTCAAAGTGGACATAGATATTTGTTGAACATAATTCAACATTTACATCTTTAACCACCTTTAAGAAATAATGCTACAGGAAGACGATAAATTTTCATAGCTGTTTCAACTTCTATCTATGCCTTGCAAACCGAGATATTTCCAGGACACAGTAAGAGCGTCCAGGAAATACTGGGAGCGAATGCTGTCTCCCAGACGTATCAGTGCAGTCCGACAAAATAACTAGAATCGAGCTTTAAGAATTACGTAGGAAAGAAAAAATACATCCACAAGAAATTTCTTGTCTGTGGAGAGTGAGTGCAAACAAAAGAGAAGACTATGAAAGACTAGAACGTGGTCCTTCTAGTAGCTGAGAATCACATTTTTTGCGTTATCAACCAGAATCTAGTCAAACTTTAGGGTATAAATTTGACAAGTTACGCAACTTGTATATACAGTTTAGAATCATGACATAAGCAAATTTTGAGGTATAATATGACATTCGCGCAGACCATCTACCTGAAATGCATTTGAAATTGGACAGAACCACACATCAAACTTCATCAAGATATTAAAACTCACAGAAATGCAGATATTTTCTTGCCCCCCATCTAATAGCGTTACTTGAACTTCAACTGAAGATTCTTGGCCACTTTCTTTGTCTGATTTGTGATCCTGCATTTTTCATAACTGTTCATTTCAGCCCATTTGTACAAGAAAGATGACTACAAGGTCTTGATTAATGTTTGTATCAGATTTGTAAACCCGCATAAACAAGTCAATTTATTCAGCGCATTAAAAACATCCTTAAAAAAATATGCGATTGAATATGAAAATAGGTTGTTGCACAGCACGGTTATTTTCTTCTTGAAGGTACATAGGTTGTTTCATTGAAAAATATCTCGTTCAACTCTCTATACAGATTTCCCTACAGAATGTGGAATGAAGTAGAGATTCTAGAAATGACGAAATTGCGGAAGTGCTTCCAGTATTTAATACCTGGCTAGTGTACACAGACAGATGTGTTCGTGCTGGATTATAAATCTAACAGGACGGTTCCGTGTCTTTAGTAGATTCCATCGTAGCAGCTGCACAAAAGATCCAGTAAACAGTTAACTTTGCCGAACTGCGCGAAATCAGTTAATTTGTCAGCCTCGTCTGTATCTCGGTATGATGAGCGAAGGGAATGTGCCAGTGCGTGGCTTTCCAACCTCTTCTTGAGGCTGTTGACAGGTGGAGTAGTAGTAGTGGCCTCAAACTTTCAGAGGGAAGAAGTATGAACGCGCACTAGCCATGACCTTTTGATTGGCGATTCCTCCTGTAAGCCGTTATCATACCTCCTCGTAATCCACGGTAGCTAAGAGAGTTAGTCCTTGGGTGTCTCTTTATGTCACCATGGGGCTTTTTCAGTATTCTCCTGATGCCCTAAGTTGCTTGCTTCCGGACCTTTCCCAGGAGGCTCACACCTCCTTTCAGGTATAGTGGTGCAATGACGCTGCGGACCTCTAAATGAAGTTGTTATGCGTCTTGTGAAGATTCAGAAAGAATTTTAGAGTAAGAGCTTTTACCTATTTTCGTATGAACCACAATATTGTGTAGCCTCTTGAAGCATGTCGCGGATAATTAGAGCAGGTAACTAGCTTGCCTGTCAGTATCAGTCCCAGGTCTTTCTCCGTGGTAGTGTGGGATAATTTTCGGCAGTCCGGGGTGTGGAGAAACATGGTTCAATATTTGTTCAGATTAAATGCTAGCCCGTTATTATTCACACGATCTGCGAACAATATGAGGTCACTTTGCAGTACTCTTAAATCTGTTTTGAATGTCCTATTTCTCTACAACTGAACGCTGTCAACTTAAAAAAAGAGTCAGGGGACCGAAGCTCAGTGGGAGGTAATCCGCAAAGAGGAAGGAAAGCAGGTGAAAAGTAACTCCTTGTTATGCTTTAGGTGATGATTCCCTCGGGAACCCCATTGACCTCTGTGCAGAGCTCTTAACCGTCAGGGTAGTCCTGCATCCAGGAGAGAACCTGACCTTCGATATCTATTCCTGCCATTCATCATCTGAGGATGGACTGCAGGACTGTGTTAAAAGGCTAGACAGAATCCAGGAAAATAGTGTGAATTGTTGCCTGGAGGTCTCAGCACCCTTTCCGGTTGTTTTCGACTACCAGAAGGCTCAATGCTCAGGACCTACTATTTCGGAAACTGTGTTATGCATCACTCGGGCTCCCTTTCCATTCAAGTGCTCTCCTGCAATTTCATCTACTAGGCTATCCAGTGATTTTGACAGAAGTTGTAGAAGTGCAATACTTCTATGGCCTTTCGGGTTCTACTTGCCTTCACCTTCGTAGATAGGGTGGTGAACAGTACGTTTCCACTTTCATGGAAGCGTGTGTCCATCTGGGGAGTATTGAAAAAGGCTACAGAGAGGACCACAAAGGGCTTTCGCCAACTGGTTCAATGCAGACCGGTGAATGTCACCGGGTCCCTGTTATTTTCCTATATGGAGCTTTGACAGTCTATCGGGGTCCATGAAAGGGGTTGCACTTATTACGTGTGTCTCTCCTACAATAAATGGTTCCGAAGATCGTCCGGGTAGCTGGCAATTCTGGCTGGATGACGGAGAGTTTAGTTGTGTAGAAGACAGCGTTGGAGGTTTCGACAAACTGTAATCCAGAGTTTCTCTTTGTTGGGGCCTTTCATATCAGCAGCTCTCTGGGTGGTAGATTTTCTGTCCACCAGGTGTTGATGCAGATTTTTGTGCTACCCGCAAGCTTCCTAGCGAGGCTTGTCAGAAACGATCTCCTGTGACTCCCCGCTTTCACGTTGCATCGAGTCCCAGGAGGACATACGTGCAATATGATCTAACTACTTACTAGACACCTTCCATTTCTCTGGACTTTGCAGTTGGCTCTCAAGAGGCGTTCAGAGCCTCGTTTCAACCATGAGATAGCTCGTAGTCCCTGTATCCCGCCTTTGAGCCCTCTGACGCTGCTGAGGATGCTTTTTAGGTAATTTTAACGTCTTTGGGTGTCTTAGTATTGGCGGGCTCCAAGGGCTGTATGTATTAACGAAAGTTGTTGCTGAACAGCCAGTTCCAATGGAACCAACCCGGTTTTTTCCCCACAATCGTTTTTGGTCATGTTGCAGATCAAAGGCCAGTCTGAACGGCTTGCCTATTTACAGTGACAGAGAATTCAGTGCTTGGCGGAACCTCCTGCTTTCACAACGGCGAACGTTCCCACTGATGTTGTCTTCGACTGCTTGCAAGTTTTCAGTACTCATGTTTAAAACTCTTGACCTACAAAGTAGGTAGCCGTCGACCTGGAAAATGACGTCGTTGTTGGATGTGAAGGACATGTAACTCTGCAGGCCGCTTCTGTGTTAACTCCGACATTCCTCGGACAACCATGGTTGTTAAATCCAGTCTGTGAGGCACCCTCTGGGACACTTTCCTCACTGGCCATGGCCAGTCTGGCTTAGCCGCATTGCCAGAGGACCTGTCAATGACCGGTATGTCTGCGACAGGGGCAGGAATCTGTCGCCCCTCTCAGACGAGCTCAAGGTCACTCTTATCCGTGGTGCCTTCCGCGAGGTGAACAGTCGCTTTCGCGGCTCAGAAGAATGCAATGAGCTTCCCACAGGTTCAGGATGTATAACTGACGGAGATGAGGAGGGCGATATGTTCAGCAAACTAGGCTTTGTCAATTAATCTTGACGGATGAATCTCCCACAGGCCTGGCCGCTTGGGTAGCAGCGGTGCTGTCCAATTGAGAATCCTACGTTCTGCGAACGACTCTTTTTGCATAACTGTCAGTTCCGAAAGTGCAAGCTTCCACCGGACAGGTGCACACATGATTATTCCCGAGAGGGGTGTATATGGAGCCAAACAGACCAATATTCAGGGAGCGCTCAGGTCACTGAGTAAGAACTTCAGTCATGAATGCCGACTAGTTATCGGTATTTCTTGCGCTGTGCACTTCTGCTCCAGTAAAAGACTTCGCGTTGGGATGCACCGGTTGCTGGTGTGCTGTGCAAAAGAAGCATTGCAGTGCGCTCATTTCGGGCGCGACTCAAGTTAAAAATGTAATGAAACCTAACGGAACCTTTTAGGTGATAAACCGTGTCCACTGTGACTAAGCTTCATCCGGTTTATATTTTAGAAGTTTGTCCGAGTGAAACAGTTGCGTCAGGCTTAGACTTATCAGTTAAACTGGTTGGTCACCCGGCATTAGTAACAATGGATACTAACATGAAAGAGCTCTGGAAGTAACTCTGAGGGCAATGGTTGGGGCGGCGAACATCCATGAATATGGAAATGTAATGGTATTTTCGGCCTGGTCGTAGGGAACAGAGAAGAACATAATGAATCTAGCCTTATGAGCTGTCACGCGCAGTGTATGGACAAATGTATAACTTTTGTGGGTATTCTTCCCCCTGGAAATATCACTCGGGTCTAGCGTAGTGGTTTACAATGTAATAGAAAGGGATTAATCAGTGCTAGTTAAAGCAGCCAGTGATTGGGTTTGATCGTAAGCAGAAACGGGCCTGATTTCTCACTTGCGCACTCACCTGGGCCTCATTTGAAGGTCGATTGGAAATGGAAAGAGAAACAGATGAATTAGGAGCCCAAAAAATAATTGCAAATAAATATGTGGCCTGCAGGTTTCTAGTTAGCTGTGTGGTGAAAACTGATACTGCGAAGACCTACCAATATAGGTGTGGAAACGCAAGAACGTTAAGGTCCGCTTCGTCATTATATTGGTTGACGCATCTCCAGCATAATAATAGCCCAAGGTTGCCGAATTAACTATCGTGGTCCACTGAAGCCGTCAGTGAGAGGTGATTTGCAACAAAGCTGTCGGAATTTGTTCATGTGCCCACAACGTGTGCAACAGGATATAGTTTAACTTCAGCAACTCACGCCAGTGCACTACATTCTAGTAAATTATTTGAACGTCCCTAACCAACGAAGTCCGCCATTTTTAGGGTGGTACAAATTTCCAAAAAATGAAGTACATGTAGTTGTATTCAAAGCGGAAGCGTCTAAAAACAGAATGTAGGCAAGTGCACTATCTGGTTTTCAGTTGAACCAACGAGGGTTTAGTCAGATCTTAGTGTTGGATAAGGAAATGTAAGTTGTACGTGATGCCAACCCTTCTTCATAATACAGATACTGAAAGCGAATTTTTCGGCCAACCAATAACAAAAATGGTGAATGTTGTCATATCAGTTCAAAAGGTTACGATAAAGAGAAGTGCATAAATATAGAGACTGGGTTTACTATATGGGTGCAGAAAATATTATTCAAGTGATGGTGAGTGATTATGATACAGCCGAAGGTGAAAAGTCGAAATTCACAGGTGGAGAGTTTGGTGCAGTACGGAAGACTGAGACAACGTTGGCTGGAGCCCAGTGTTGTGACTTCCAAGCAAGTTGTTTTAGCCCTTTAGAGTATGCAAGAATTATTCATATCGAAGCCAGCTGCAATGTCGCTCTCTAAGTTCATATATCATGGTAATGTGTCACGTCAAACGTCCTTTCTCCACAGGCTAATATGGTGAATGCAGTTCTGAGAATCAACTTCTGGGCCTCCGGTACGCACAATGATCATGTTTGATATTGGCGCACAGACATCTTAACTATCACAGTGCTTGCTTCACGCATACCGTGACTGAAAAA